AATATTTAGGCTTTCACAGGTTATTTTTTGTACCGAAGTAATCTGGAGCCAAACTTGCATCTGCAGCGATTCAAAATCCCTGTCAAATGTTTACAGAAGAAAATGATTTAAGTTTGTTTTGAGGACTTGTTACTTAATTATTATCTCTGCTTACCATACAAACTGAGACCTTCCTTTTCACCAGAATTGAGTTTATACACTGATGGATGAAGTTCTGATTTGAAGATCTGCAAAACGCTGACAATCAATGTGTAAAAAAAAATATATATATATTATATAATTGTAATTATAATTATATTATGATATTATTATTTACATTTTTAATCCAGCATCCTACCTGTATGTGTCAGAATCAATCTTGACTATCCCTTTGCTATATTGATGCAAAAGAAAAGGTTTTGCTTAAATTAATAAATAAATACCAAAAGGTGCACTGTGTAACTTTTCTGGTGGATGAGATTGTCTCTATGGAGATGCTATTGCTTTGCCTGCAATGTTGTTGCAAGTGGCAGCACAAGGCCAAGTACAGGTCAGATCAAAGGAGAGATGACCTCCACACAAATAAATAATACATGTTATTATAGAAAAACATTAAAAGAGTTTTGTGCAATATAAACACTGATAATGGAATAAATGGGAGATGGATCAGTTAAATGCCATACTGTGGAACAGTACAATTCAGACCAAGCTATAACATGGAAGCTGAGTCCCCATCTGAAAAGTTACAGTCGTTTCAGATTTAAGCTGTTAGACTACTCTAAAGAGGAGTGCAAAAGCATTTATAAAAGGCTGTTTAGTAAGAATATGCTGCTAAACCCTGGACATTTAGCTTGATGAGTGCATCTCTGAAGGTGCCTTACAGTGTGTAGGCGCCAAACTGGAGGATAGGAACTCCAACACTGCTGTCTTCCAGTTCAACTCCCACTCGCCTCCTGTCCAAGCATTTTAACAGAGCGCCCAGTGACCTCAACTATGAACAATGAACACACAACATAAACAAAAGAATGGTAGTTATACAGTTGTATTTATATGACTATTGGAGTAATGACTAAAATGTGGACAGATGGCTCACCATGAGGGGAGAGTCAAAGGAGATGCAGGAGGAGAGGTAGGACATTTTGTCTTTCTCTGAGGCGGATGCAGGAAGGAAGGGCAGATTGGCAGACAGGAGCCTTTGCTTACCAACCTCCAGACCTGAAACATTAGCCATCTGCTGTGGTTCAATTTCAATTCAATTTATTTCTGTAAAGCCTAAAATCACAACAGCAGTTGTCTCTCTGGGCTTAACAAGATTGTTGATTGAACCAACAGAAAGTTAGAAAATGAAACAGTAAAACAGACACTGGTCAATAACAGACAATTACAGACAAGGCAAACAACCAATATTCACAGGAAAACAAGCAAAAACAAGATAACTGTCCCAGAACGCCCCCTGTCCTTAGACTCTCCTTATCAACAAGGTAAAACTAAAAAAAAAAAAAAACAGTTGACAGTTAGAATACACATTTTACTAAAAGTGAGTAAACATATTTAAATTTGAGACATTACTTAATATCTCACTTAGTTTGTCCTAGATTAACAAATTTGGTGATGTGTAAAGTTTAAATTCATTGTTGCTGTAGGGCTGACAACTCTCAAATAATGATTCCCTAGCTAGCACATTAATTATCCCTGAATTTTGGATGGAATTTTGTGTATTGATGACATAGGGATTCCCTTTTAAAACATTCTGTAATTTTCAACTTTTCAACTGGCATAATTACAGCTACTATCACACTAAATGAAGTAATAATTGAAACAGGAAAACTTGTCATATGGACTGTTTACCAAAGTCGACGTAAGGATATATGACCACTTCCGGTTTGTAGTCTGGATTTGAAGCTGAAACATAAAAAGTAAGTCAGTAGGATGAAAAATGAAAAAATTATCTTACTTTCCTTGACCTAGTCACAACTTGCCTCTCTGAGTCATCTAAACAAAACTTGATGTGTCAGTGATTTATTCTTCTGATAAGTTTGATAAGATACGTGTGCATTTTGTAAAACTCACCGAGTCTCTGTAAAAAGCGGGTCATGCACCGCTCTTGTTTGGCACTGGTAATAAATACATTTGGACGCACTTCCTGGACAACTAGGAGCAACAACACAATACAGACACGAGGTTTACTTATTTTGACACCAGACTTTAGCAGAACAAAAACAGATATACAGCAATACATATAATATTAGAATCACATTGTAATAATAAAGTGACCAAAGAAAGATAAGGGTTGTCAAAATATTCTGAATAACTTTAGAATTATCTTGAGCTGTATCAGAACAAGTGTAAGAGCATGAATCACTATGGAAACTATCTGGACCACTGACGGATTACACAGATATAAGACCACATGGAAATATAAATGAAAGTACTATTATCTAATGTTAAAAAACACATTCTATTGTCTGAATAAAGATAGTATCGGTATTAGTATCAGTATCAAGTCCACTCCATGGTATTGACATCAAGTTTGAAATGTTAGTATCATGACAACATTAGTGTGAGGAAAAGATCAGTTCTGGTTCAAAAATGTTTTTATCAGAGGAAAAAAATTAAAGGTGTTTCCATGGAGATCCATTGAACATTTTAGGCAAAGCAATAATCATGGTTCCCACTCTTTATCACTGGCAAAATTTCAAAACCTTTCCATGACTTTTTCATGAACTAAAGTATATTTTCCATGACTTTACTGCACCCTACATGTGTTGAATTGAGCATAATTTTAGGGCCAAATATGAAATGTTAACCCTTTCCACTCACCTTATGGTTTGGTATTAAAGATTTTTTAACATTCAAAATACTGTCAGTGCATTTATTGTCATCTCTTTTAAACAAACGGCGCATATGTTCAGAATCAATCATAATAGCCTAATGATAACTTAACAGAACGTTGTAGTTGCGTGGCAGAGAAACTAAAATTCCATGACTTTTCCAAAACTTTCATTGAATTTACAAAATTCCATAACTTTTCCAGGCTGATTTCCATGACCGTGGGAACCCTGAATAATGTGAGATGCAGGGGGCAGACCAGGCATTCCACCAGTAAAGTTAGTTTAGTCTAATTTTATTAAAAAGGACAAAGAATACCTAAAAAGTCAACTCTTCACTCCAAAATACAATAAGCCCACAGTCAGTGATGGGGAGTAACAGATTACATGTACCGGAGTTACATAATCAGAGTACAAATTATGAGTAACTGTATTCAGTTACAGTTACTGTTTCAGTGAGTGGTAATTGGATTACAGTTACTTTGTTGAAATAAATGGATTACACGGCGGTATTTTACGGTTTTCACATTTTGGGCTATTCCCTTTTTTTTTTTTTTTTTTTTTTGTAATTCCACTCATTGGCGGACACTAAACCAGGTCTAAAACCAGGTCTAAAACCAGGTCTAAACCAGGTCTAAACCACATCTAAACCAGGACTAAACCAGGACTAAACCATGTCTAAAAAGGACTAAAACCAGGTCTAAACCAGGTCTAAACCAGGACTAAACCATGTCTAAAAAGGACTAAAACCAGGTCTAAACCAAGTCTAAACCAGGACTAAACTAGGTCTAAACCAGGATTAAACTAGGACTAAACCAGGTCTAAACCAGGACTAAACTAGGAATAAACCAGAATTAAAGCAGGACTAAACCAGGTCTAAACCAGGACTAAACTAGGATTAAACCAGGTCTAAACCAGGACTAAACTAGGACTAAACCAGAATTAAAGCATGTCAAAACCAGGTCTAAAACAGGATATAACAGGACTAAATCATGTTGCGTGGACGTGTCTCCTCCTCTTCTATCAATAATATCTTTAATTTGGTTAAGTAAAGTCTGGTCTTTTTATTTTCTTTTAGCAGACAAAACATCTTATGTGAAGATTTCCTCGTCTTTGCTTCTCTACAGCAACTCAAGTAATCCAAAGTATTCAGATAACGTAACTCACTTTAAGTAATTTAATGGATTACGTTACAAACTATATTTTGGAGTATGTAATCTGTAATCTGTAGGGGAATACATTTTAAAAGTAACCTTCCCAACACTGCCCACAGTACAGCAAAAGTATATTCTTATAGTAAAAGAAATAGTAGCGTACCTCTAGCCACCAGGTGGAGTTCGTGATTGTCAGGAGAGTCAGTCATGAAGTGTAGTTTGGAGTCTTTGCTGTCATAAAAACAAAGACCCACCTGTCCATGTTGAGCCAAGACGCTGAGTAAAACCTGGACAAGTAAAACAGAACGTGCAACTTATTTATTGATCTTTATTTAATGCATACTGTCTTGACATCTCAGTTAGTTTAATTTCAATGTTTGTACCTCTGGAACATCTTCGTCTTCTCCTTCTTCAAAAAGTACTCCACCTTCTCCTTCTGGACCTCTCGGGTTTTCTGGAGCAAACATTTAGGTATTTCCCACAAAAAGCAGGAAACTGACTATAAAAAAATTATGTTGACCTTTGCTAAATTATTTCTATCAGAACCACGTGTAAAATTGTGTACTGCTATTTATGTAATACTTTCTTATTACTTAAATTAAGAAAAACAGCTAATTTGGTGTTCACTAAATTTAAGCTAGTTTAGCCAAGAATTATCGTAGAAACCTTTTAGCGCCTTAAACGTCTGCGCATGCGTAACTTCTGCTGTTACTATGACAACAGTAAAGCGTCAATTATGTCAAAGTTGAGATCAATATATTAAAATTTAAGTTTATCATGAGCTGTTTCCACTATTTAACTAATTCGGAGTTTAGTTTTTTTTTTTTTTTATTATTTTTAAAGTCCAACATTGGATATTTCAGTGCCAAAAAGATGGCACCTAAGATCTAAGATCGTTAAATCAAAAGTGTTGTGACTAAGCGACATAAGTGAATTACTGGATGACTGCTTTTAGCCTTTAATTTTTCAGTCCTGTTGTCATTCATGAATGAAAAAAACAAAACAACACCACTAGCTGAATACATTACAAAGATACACCTTGTTTAAGTTAAACTTTTATTACAAGTGTATAAATACAAAATACCTTTATTACAAACAAGCCAAGAAACCACTTTAACTGTTTTTTTCTGTTTCCTGCCAACTTGAACTCAGGTAGTGTTGAAGACGTGGTGGTAAAGGCAGTTTGTCAGTTTGTTCCTCCTTCAGGTTCTGGCAGATGGACAGACGACATAATGCCATCAGTGTTGGCGGTTCTCCTAGTAAAGAGACATAGTTAGTTAATACACTAGTTAGTATTTACTTCACACTCAATTTAAGTCAATAACTGCTCCTAAAGGTTCAAAATCTGGTTCAAAAGGTTAAAAAACTGCTCACTCTACATGCTAAACACAATTTTAGTGATCCAAACAGAATTTTCTCTCAGCGAAATTCAGTTTTTCATTCAAAACTGATACATTTTAGATGTGACACCCTGTGCCCTTGTTCAGACAGATGTTTGAATCAAATGATCAAACTAAACTGAGTTTTGAAAAATGTGTTAAAACAATACTGTAATTTTAGATACTCACTTCTAGCTCCATTGAGGTAACGTAGCCGTATGGTGGCCCCTCCTCTCACACTGCTTACAGCAGGGAACAAGTCCACGCCATGAGGTAGGCCTTCAAACGCTGTCCCAAGGAAGCTCCCATTCACAATAAACCCCAAAATGCCAACGTCTGCATCTAACACTAAGAGCACTTTATCCGGGATATCAAATGAGGAGTCTGAAGAAGTTAGTTGCCTGAAATTATAACAATTTCTTGGGTAAAATCCTCTACTTTTTCCATCATGCCAAAGTTGATTCGTTTTTAATTCCCATCCCCAAGACTGTGAGTCTCTCCCCACTAGCACATTGTACCCAGACACTTGCAATGGGCAGTTCTTTGTAGCAATTCCAATTACAGCATGGCTTCCTCTCTGTTCTTGGGACCACAGCACCTCCCAAATATGAAGTCCACTGTTCACGCCCGTCTCTGCTCTTGCCCCATCACTGCTTTGCTCAACATGAGTCCGTGTGACCTCCTCTTTGCAGGCTGACAGGAGAAGGTGGGGTGAGTGGTGAAATGGGCTCCATTTTGAGAGAACATGTCCCAGAGCTTCAGGGGAGGAGCTGAGGAGGACAGAGAGGCGAGCTGGTGTTGGAACGGCCATTGAGGAGGACCATGAAGCGGTCCATGATTGTGTGTCCTCTGCTCCATCGTGCAGCCAAAACGAGAACCTCAGACCCATATCACAGCGTCAACAGGAAGAAATGCAGGAAGTCAGTGAACTGGAAAAAAACAGGAACAGGTTAAAATTTACATAATCCAACAAATTAGATTTTTAAAATACTTTACACAAGGCAGACATAAGAATATAATAGAAGTGGCAATGGTTGTCAGATGAGTAAATTCATTAATATTAATATGCACAAAACATTACTAGAGCTATATTATTAGTGAAGAAGTCAAACTATATTTAACCTACATTAATAAAGAAAAGTAATTGTCTTAGATTATTGTGTTGCATTGTTGTTGTACCTGCATGTTGAGTAAATTGTCTAGAGTTTATTTAGGGTACTTACTATTTTAAGGAAGTAATATTACACATATCACACGACATCACACTGAGATCTCGGTTCTCATATCACTATTCAGAGTGAATAATGTTAGTGTGTGTAGTGACAAGATTGGACACTATTTTTAACCAAGTATAATCAGCAATAAACCTGTTCTAAACCATATCTAAACCAACACTTAATTAACAGTGACTGAAATAGTGGTATAAAATTATATAACATACCCCTTTTAAAAGTCTTGCACAGCCATTTAGGCCCCTGTCCCTCATCACACTTATTTAGAGAATGTCCCACATGGAAAAATTGATTCTATTTTTCTATTTTTCTTTTCTAGCAAAGAAATAAGGACATTCAGGGTTGTATAGAGATCTAGGGTGACCAGACATTCCTGTTTGTGTAGAGACAGTTCCAGTTTTGAGCCCTGTGTCCCCTGTCCCAGCAGCTTTGCCCCAGTTTTATATAAGAAATGTCCCAGGTGTCCCTATTTTTGACCAATCTGTTACTTGCCAACAGTAAAGACAGGCATACATTGTCATTTGTTTAGGTAAAATACAGAAAATCATCTTAAAAATGACAAAAACGCAAAGAAAATGTGACGATACTGACTCACATTAGTGCCTAGTGCATGACAATTTTCCTTAATTACACACTCATTTCACAGTTTTATTATTACCAACCACCACAAACCAGGGATGTCCCAGTTTTTTATTTTGAAAATCTGGATCCTAATATAGCCACCTACTGCTATTCCAGTCTCTCCTTGTGCTACAACTGATAAAAACAAAAGAAAATGGTGTTATATTGCAGTTATTATCTATAAGCTTAAATTTTCCCTAGTCATGTCCAACTACATTCAACAACATTTTAGGCTTAGACAATCTTTATTGATTCACAAGGGAAATTATTTGGACACAGTAGCTCAGTCATCACAATATAATATAACAAAGAGCAAAAATATAAATGGTAAGAATAAATTCTAAGTAAGTAGCAAAAAAGACAGCAAGAGACAGGTATCAAATAAGGCATAATTATATAAATGTACATGTGCAAGTCAAAATAAAATAGAAAAATAAGGAATAACATATAAAATCTCAGCTCTATACAAGATGTCATACATTTTCTGCAATTTGAGGTGATCACCCTGGCGCTGTATTTCACTTACCAGATGTTGAGCGGACTTCTTCCCTCTTTCGGCTCGGGGGAAGGCGCTTATTTGGATGATACCCCACGTTTTCATCGCGCTTTTTAACATCTCTTATCGAGCGCCTCTTGCGTCTTATCGCTGATCTGAGCGTAATTCCGCACTGATCCCGCTCCGTTGTTTTGGTTTGGTGATCATGAAGCCTCTCGGGACGACCTCCGCGCCGGGTACAGCATAGTCCACCGTTTTCTGACTGACGCCACGCAGAGTTGCAGTGACAAGGACGATATGTTCTATGACGTGTTTGTAAAAATAATGGATTGGATGCATTTATTTTGCATACATTTAAAAATCTTGCGCTCGATAGACTTCAGGATGGCTATTATTATTCATAGGGCAAACCGCTCCCACCTTCTTCTTTTACCGTGTCCTAAAATGGATGTAAACATAAATGGCAAAGCATACTACTAGGAGAAAACTCGGACTTTTAATCAGCAGAAAAATAAAAATAAAATAGAATCCGAAACGGCTCATGATTTTCCTTAGCGCATGCGCAGAACTGATTAGGCTGCGGTGACGTCGCAATCTTGAAAAAAGTGGTGAGCATAGACCGTATATGTGAATTTTATACAGTCTATGGTGTTTTGTTTGTTTTTGTTTTTTTTAATATATTCTTTTATACAGTCTATGGTGGTGAGGCATCTGCTAGATCAAGGGTAGGCATTTTTTTTTTTTTCCATGGGGACACATGAGAAACAGAAAATATTGTGGAGGGCCAAAATGCTTAACTCAATTCTGCGTAAATTGTATTTCTTTATCAAAAGCAGTAAATAGCATTGTTTTGACAAGCTGGTAAGACTGGTAAGAGTATATGTTTTGACTAAGCAATAGAGGAGGGAACTTGCAAGTCATGACTTGGACTCGAGTCAGACTTGAGTCACTATTTTTAGGACTTGAGACTTGACTTGATAAAATGGACTTGGATTTGAGACCTGTGACTTGAGAAAACTTGATGCTTCTCCTAAAAAATGGATGTAACTGAAGTACTGTGATGTGGTATCCTCAAATGTCTTACAGTTATATACAATACAATACAGTACAATACAGTATAACAGAGGGAACTACACAGAACATGATCCTTCCTTTTCAGTGCAGACAAAATAACTGTTATTTAGCACTTTTAAATCAGAATTCGTTCTATTCTGACCGTAATGATTCACACTAAGATCTTGTCAAGACATTTAAAAAGGAAAAATTAACATTTCTACAACTCTTATATAAATACCTATATAAAATATACCAGGACTTTTTAAATACAATTTAGTTTAAAAGTCATATAAATTGCAATAATCTAAGGTATATTTGGTACTTTGGTTTAAAGACTTGAATTGACTTGAAGCTTAATGCAGATGACTTGGACTTGACTTGAACTTATGGGCCAGTGACTCGAGACTTGACTTGGACTTGCCTGTATTTGACTTGGGATTTGACTTGGACTTGAGGTCAAAGACTTGAGACTTGCAAAACAACAACTTGGTCCCACCTCTGCTAAGCAATGAAAAAGTAAGGTTGCCTTACAAAACAATGTCATAAAAAACACCTCTAAAATAAAAGTAATGCAGCTTTAGTCCATGCATGAGGTAAAATCATAAAATGTTTATTCTGTAATTCCAGATTGGCTTAAACGGGCAATCAGAGTCAACCAAATGGCGATATGTGGCCCTGGAGCTGTACAATGCCCAGGTTTGTACTAGATGGAGGTTAGAGTCAGAATCAGAAAAAGTGGCATTATCAATTAACAAAAATAACAAACTAGGTACTTGCTTTGGAGTTATAATGCAACGTAAAACAAAGAATAATATAGATTACAATAAAATAAAAATAAAATAAGTTGTAAAATAGACAAAATTTACAATATGGGCAGAACAACAGTGCAAGCAGGTTAGTTACAGTTGTTTAAAGTGACAGTAGCGGGTGTTAGTCTTCATGAGTGCAATGGCAGAGGGGAAAAATCTGTTCTTGGGGCGGGAGGCTCTGGCCCGAATGGAAAGTAGCCTCCTGCCCAAGGGAAGTGGCTCAAATATTTCATGTCCAGGGTGAGAAGGGTCAGCTATAATCCAACCTGCTTGCCCTCGATTCCTGAAGAAGTACAGGTCCTGAAGAGATGGGAGGCCAGTCACCTTCTTGGATTTGATACTGATAGCCATTCATGTGTTTGTTTGAGCAGCTTCGCAATAAACAGTAGTGGAAGGAGTACTGCAAATTTGTACTTTGTAACTTGGGTTGGGGATCCATCACCTTCATGTTTCTATGGATATGTCATTCCTCTGCTTAGAATGTTCCACAATATGACATTAAACAGATCTACCTTGCATTTATTCAATTACAGGTAGTTTTATTGCTCAAAAAACAGGTATTCTGACTGTGAGCGGGGTCACCTCTCCACAGATCTGACCTGTAACTTGGTCTGGTTTGATTTCCATGAAGATAGAAAGGTTAAATGCCATACTGTGAATCATTCTCAGAAAGTAATAACATCTCCATTTGACGGACCCTCCACCAGAAAAGCTACTCAATGCATCTTTAAGTAAAAGTAAAAAGTACACATGAAAAAAAAATAGTAGTAATTACTTTTCAACAGGTCAGCAGCATTTTTGATTATCATTTTATATAAGCTGAACAGTTTATTGCTGAATTTAGATGTTTCAAGCCACACTCTGCCTATTCTCAGAGCTCTGGCCAATCAGGGCATGAGATACTGTGCTGTTAAATGTATTTGTAGGTATAGAAAAGGACAGAGACAGTTGTGGATGGGGACTTGTGCTGTACTCAATACTCATATGAATTTAAATATAACTAATTCCAATAACATGGCTAGAATTATGCTCAACTACAAGTACAAGTACAAGTTTAAAAATCTACTCAAAGTACAATTACCCAAAAATCCGCTCAGTTACAGTAACATGAGTATTTACTTCTCACCCCTGCAAAAAATGTATCACTATTATTGGTGACTAACATAATAAAATCTAAAGTCTAAAAGCCTTCAAATATAAGAAGAAAATTACAATGTTTTAAAAGACAAATCTTGCCTAATAAATATTAAGTGGTAGTCTGCTAAAAATAAAACAAATGCCGGTCTATTCCTCTTCTGTCCATTTTCTTAATGTTGGGGCACCAATACATGACCTAAAAAGAACAAACACAGATTAAACACATATTAAATAGGCTCAATAGGCGCTCATTATTTATTTGATCTTTTATATACCTCTGGTTGATTAATTAGTAAATTTAAGGTAAATATTATTGTGCACTTGTAACAATTCTGGTGTAAGGATTGCCACTTTGGAAATGTTACGGTTTTGCTTTGCGTGTTTCATAGTTTGGCCTTAAATTCATCTGTCTCCATGGAGACAAAGAGGTGATGCCTCCATAGTCTATGGAAAAATGTTCAGCAGTTTCCTGTCGCCACTAGAAAAGTTACAAAGTGCACCAAATAAGCTCGTGTGAGGGTGATAAATCCCCCTCTAGAGCTTTGGAGCCCATTCTCACCTTCTGTTTGTTTTTTGTAATAAATGACTCCAGCAATAAGAAAGGCCAGTCCCAGCAGCAGCCCTGCAGTCCCAACTATCAGCTTGTTTCTTCTCGACTCTGGAAAGTTCTCTGTGCCAAAAATACAGAAACACTATGAAAGCTCAGAAGAGAGTTTAAAAGACTGAAGCCTGGACTTATCCTACCCAGTGGGTAGAGCTGAGGAGTGGAGAGGCTGGCATGCTCCACCATGCAGGAGATCTGGTCTTCTGCTGTAGGTGTGTACTCCAGGTAGGAGTGCTTCTGGTAAAGCCAGTTTCCATTGGACATCTCATCAGTGAACGTCACACCAGACGTCACCTCCTCCCCGTTCCTCAGCCATGTCAGAGTGAGGGCTTTGGGATAGAAACTATAGGCGCTGCACACCAGCATGCCAGGTTGGTGACTGCTTCCTGCTTTAGTGGAGAACACTCGGACTTGAGGCTCTTGTGCTATAAAATACAAAAGGTTATTTTCATTTATAGTCCCATTGGTAGATTGATGTTAAGACAAAAAAGGACCCACATCATGCACAAAATGGACAGTAAGGAAGACCACACACGACATGAAAACATTAGAAATGCATTGCGTAATATAATTTATATGCTAAAAGCAGTGTGTGGATTGTCTGAATAAAGTCAGATACTTTATTATACTATTTATAAAGAAAAGGAAAAAAAATCACAAAAATTGGCCTTTCCTGAATACTTTTGGAATAATCTGGCATCCAGAACACACACTTTTTTACTTTACTGCATGAAAATATGAGTCTGGTCACCAGTGAATCACTCCATTTACGGATGGCTGTGATTGACAGGTGGATTAACCAATCAGGGACACACATGGTCCATCCTTATCAAAACAAATATTGATTGCTTCCTGTTTTTAGTGGAAAGCACTCAGACTTGATGCTCTTGTGCTTGTGCTTTAAAGGTTTAAAGGTTGTTTGTGTATTTTTATTACTCAGGTGTCAAATGGGGTAAATATTGATTTAATTAAGACTCTACAGGCAAAAGAAAAAAATGCCTCAGCACATCACAATATGATAAGATGAGAAATTTTATGATTTTATGATGATATCCGTTAAGTGGCGCATTGGCAGGGTTTGATACTTGGGACCTGGCCTTTCTGTGGAATAAAATCATCTCGTGTGTGACTGTGAGCTGCTCTGATAGTGAAATTTTTATTTGAAAATATCAGTCCTGCTGTTCTTTGTCTTAGAAAAGAATAATAGTTGTGTCTGTATCCATATTGTATACTTGAATAATACTGTAAAATTACCTGTTCCCCGTTGAGCAAACTGCAATACATAACTTGCAAATTTTTTACAGTTTTTCAGGCCATCTTCTATCTCATGTAAAATATGTGGATTTTTGTTTAAGGTATCTGCAAGTTCTTTGGATTCTTTTATGTAGCCGGCGAATTTCCCCTCTGCAGTGCTGTATGATCCGACGAGCTCCTTGTTGTAGTATAGTAGGCCATTAGAAACAGCATCGTCTTCTGTACCAAACCGACAACTTTGAAAACCATACAAATAGTGAGCACCGTCTGAAAGATTAGACAAAAGACAACTGATTATTATTACAGACTTCTAGTGATTCCTCTTATGTTTATTTTATATGTATAATTTAAAGTATGGTCAAAAAGACAAATATATGGTTAAAGATTATAGTTGTTTATGTTTATTATGTTTCATATGGGACAGTGAATATTACATGTGTCCTTCCGTTATATAAATGTGCCAGAAGTATGCAGCCTAATTTTCATCTATAGTTCCACTGGCAGATTGATATCATGACAAAAAAGGACCCATAACATGCACAAAATGATCAGTCAAGAAGAACACACACATGACATGAAAACATTAGATATTAGTGGAATACATTATGTAATATAATTTGTATGCTAAAAGCAGTCTGTGTGGATCAACTAAATAAAATATATAGTCAGATACTTTGAACAGATATTGATACTCAAAAGGCCTTTTCTGAATAGCTCTAAAATTGCCTGGGATCCAGATCACTTTAGGGAGATGTGAGTCTAGGTTTTGTCGGTGGGTCACTGACAAATGTCCTCGTTTTCAGATGGGTGTGATTGACAGGTGAGCAAGATTGACAGATGGATTAGCTAGTATCACAAGGTACAGAAAAACAGCGAAGATTTATGCAGAATCAATCTAACTAAACTAAAACTAAACTTGACGTCATTTGCAAGTCATAGGTGACAAATGAGCTCCTTCGTTCCACATGTCACTGAAAATCGGATTGCACGCAGACTGGTATACATCTGTAAAAAAAATACAGATATCATTTTGAATTTGCCAGGCAAGTTTTCGAATGGTCTTGATGTCACTATTAGAACTAGAATAAGACCACCTAATATTAAGGAATGTCGGCCTACTGTCTAAAATAATGTTTTTATTATCATCAAAATCAGTATTGAGTATTGAGCCTTTTTGTTAGTGTTGAAATCAAGTTTAACCTGTGCACAAAAAACAGGTTAGAGATAACAAAAATGACACAATTGCAGTTTCTTAATCACCATGCAGGAAATAAGACCACTGTTGTCACTTAGAGGATTATCATTAAACACAAATTCAGAGTAATATTTCATAGTCTTACCTGTTGTGTGGAAAAATAAAGCAAAACACAGTAGACTTACACCTGTATTCATTGTGTCAAAAAGAACTACCCCTTATAATAACCAGAAACTAAACGAAGTGCAGGCTGAGAGTGTGGGCAGGTGTGACAGTGGGGGGAGGACCTGACGGTAACAAGTACACTACAATGCATGTGACTTTTTGACAGCATTCTTTAAATTCTTTGGTGGATCCTATAGGACAGAACATTTATCAGTCTTTTATATTTAACCTAAAACAGCAACATACAGTGACATTCCCTGATCAAAGCAGAGATATGTTTTAATTACTGAATTAATTAAATGTGTAAATGATTAGTCGCTCATATCTAAGGCAAGGCAAGGCAAGTTTATTTGTATAGCACAATTCGTACACAAAGTAATTCAAAGTGCTTTACAGAATAAGAAATACATTAAAATCATAATAAAAACAAATCAAAACATAAATAATCATGAAGATTAAAATTAAAAAAGAGAGACATAAATTGGAGAGAAGAGTGCGGAATGAAAACCTTTCAGTTATATGCACAGTTAAACAGAAATGTTTTGAGTCTGGATTTAAACAGCGTCACAGAAGAGTCTGTCTCACATGTTCAGGAAGACTGTTCCAGGTTTTAGCTGCATGAACCTGAAACGCTGACTCCCCTTGTTTAGTTCTGACTCTGGGCACCAGCAGGAGGCCGGTCCCTGAGGTCCTCAGAGTGTGAGATGTTCATATGACACTAACATGTCACAGATGTACTTTGGTGCTCGGCCATGGAGAGACTTGTACACAAGCAGAGCTGTATCTACCTATATACAAGACAAGCAATAACATGTTTTCTAAATTATTAATAGTGGGTGGCAGTCTGACCATCCAGAACCACACTCTTGGACAAAACTTAACAAAGATAAGTGGATCTGGAAGAGAAACCTGTCTCCCTAATGTCAGAGGATGTGACTGACAGGAGGATTAACCAATCAGAGAGATGCATGGTCTGTTCATGTCAAAAACAAATATGATGGTTCACACATAAAAAGGGGGGTTAGAAACAATATAAAGGACTGAAAAACACCACAGATTTTTTGCAGAATCGACAATCAGAGCACTAAACTATTACTTACCTCAGGTAAAACCAGTTTGATATTTTGTTCTGAACGATACAAAAATTTTGAGAGTCTTCCGCACTTGAGAGACACGTGACACAAATTGGCGGTTGTGATTGAATAGTCTCAAGTTAGGACAGAGGATTTTGGTCAGGAAAATAAAAATATAATAACAAATGCAGTCCTCTTGTGTTGATTTTCTCATTAGTCAGGTACCAAACCATATCCTAAAAAGAAACACAAATTCAGTTACTGCCATATAAAATTTATTGTCTCTCACCTTGAACTTTTATACTATTATATGACTTTTATTGTAAAAAAATGTTTTATTTATTTAAATGTGAATTGTGTAACTTTTCTGGTGGAGTGTCCGTCAAATACTTTTCTCCATGGAAATGTTATTGTTTTGTCTGGAGTGTTTCACAGTATGACATTAAACCTTTCTATCCTCATGTAGACGAAACCAGACCAAGTTACAGGTCAGATCTGTGAAGAGGCAGCCTCACTCACAGTCTGTTTTTCCAGGTATTTTTCAGCTATAAAAACCACCTGTAATTGAATAAATGTGAGGTAGAGTTGTTCAGTATCATTCTGTGGACCAGTCCATACAGAGCAATGACATATCCATAAAAACAAGCATTTGATGGACCTCCCTCCAAAACGTTACATAGTGCACCTTTAAATTAAATACAGCTTGTTTGAACATGTGACTTATATAATCTTTAATCAACCGTTTAGAGTCCAGTGGAAGTGGAAGTAAAAGTTTGTTTATAAATTCAAATATGAAATGGAAAAAAAAAAAAAAAAAAAGGAATTTGCTGCTATTATGGATACTCACGGTTGTTCTGTAACAGGGATAATAGAGTATTGTTCCTCTGCTACTTTAAATGGATGTGGTTTTTCCTTGTGTGAGTTTTCCTTGTGTTGGTGTGGGCCAATGACCATGTACAGTAATTGGCAGCTGGAAGGGGGTGGTGATTATTGTTTAAAAATCCTGTGAATCTTCACCCTCACTTTCTCTCACACCCTGTTGTCTTTTTTTCCAGGTCAGTCGGAAGCAGTTTACCACATTACACCTACCCACAGAGCCACCTTAACCCGACCAAATGCCTGGACCTCTGGACAAGCCCTTAAAAAGCAAAATCAAATTCTGTCTCCTCTTGTGACATTTTAATCATTCCTAATTTTAACTAAAATTATTATAATAAAATCAATGAAACGAAAGTCTGCTGTATGGGGCAATCAATCCTTTAGAGTTAAGTACAAGTTACAGTTGAAAGTATTTGCTGTTGTCTTTGGACTCAGAATCCATGCAGCGGTATCATTCTGGACTTGTCAGGCTATACTGTTTCCCATGGTTGTCCCAGTGTCATAATGGGGTTTTGTGGTAAGTTACTTCTTTTAAGGATACCCAGAAGCAATCTGAGGAGCACTGCAGGAAGTAGCTAAAATACTTTATTTTTTCAATTTTAGCAAGAAAATAAACAATCCAGATTGCTAGAATTTAAATAAAATTTAAACAATATAACAGATAACATTTTAGTGTAACCTTATCAAAAGATAATGCTCTGCACATTTTACCTCATGGAAAGATATCAAACTTTAAACAACAAAAGAATTATGTTTTTACCTATTTGGAAATCAACCCAGCAACACACGCCAATAAATGTAATCCTATCGTTTTAATTGTGTCAACAAACAAGTCAATTTTTTTGTATAAAGGAGAGAACCTCTGGCCAGAATGGACCGTAGCCTCCTGTCCAAGGGGACTGGCTCAAATGGTTCATTTTCAGGGTGAGAAGGGTCAGCTGTGATCCAACCTGCTCACCCTCAATTCCTGAAGAAGTACAGGTCCTGAAGAGATGTGGAAGGAGCACTGCAAATTTGTACTCAAATAAAAGTACAGTTACAGGACAAAAAATTACTTAATTGTGAGTAAAACAAGTGCTTCCAAAATTGTACTTAAAGGTGTACTGTGTAAATTGGATTGGGGGTCCATCACCTTCATATTTCTATGGATATGTCATTGCTCTGCTTGGAATGTTCCACAATATGACATTAAACAGATCTACCTTGCATTTATTCAATTACAGGTAGTTTAATTGTTCAAAAAAATTCTGACTGTGAGCAGGGTCGCCTCTCCACAGATCTGACCTGTGGTTTCTGGTGTCTGGTTTGATTTCCATGAAAATAGAAAGGTTTAATGCCATACTGTGAAACATTCTCAGAAAGTAATAACATCTACATTTGATGGACCTTGTATTTGTAAGTATAGAAAAGGGCAGAGAACAACATAACATGTCTCGAATTATGCTCAACTACAAGTACAAGTTTAAAAATCTACTCAAAGTACAATTATCCAAAAAATCTGCTCAGTTACGGTAACATGAGTATTCAATTTTATCCCTGCAAAAAATGTATCACTATTAATGGTGACTAACATATAATAAAATCTTAAATCTAAAACAGATAGCCTTCAAATTTAAGAAGAAAATTATAATGTTTTAAAAGATAAACCTTGCCTAATAAATACTATATTCTGCTAAAAATATAATAAATGAAGGTCTATTCCTCTTCTGTCCATTTTCTTAATGTTGGGGCACCAATACATGACCTAAAAAGAACAAACACAGATTAAACACATATTAAATAGGCTCAGTAGGCGCTCATTATTTATTTGATCTTTTATATACCTCTGGTTGATCAGTGAGTAAATTTAAGGTAAATGTATTGTGCACTTGTAAAAATTCTGGTGTAAGGATTGCCACCTTGGAAATGTTACGGTTTTGCTTTGCGTGTTTCATAGTTTGGCCTTAAATGCATCTGTCTCCATGGAGACAAAGAGGTGGTGCCTCCATAGTCTATGGAAAAATGTTCAGCAGTTTCCTGTCGCCACTAGAAAAGTTACAAAGTGCACCAAATAAGCTCGTGTGAGGGTGATAAATCCCCCTCTAGAGCTTTGGAGCCCATTCTCACCTTTTGTGTGTTTTTTGTAATAAATGACTCCAGCAATAAGAAAGGCCAGTCCCAGCAGCAGCCCTGCAGTCCCAACTATCAGCTTGTTTCTTCTCGACTCTGGAAAGTTCTCTGTGCCAAAAATACAGAAACACTATGAAAGCTCAGAAGAGAGTTTAAAAGACTGAAGCCTGGACTTATCCTACCCAGTGGGTAGAGCTGAGGAGTGGAGAGGCTGGCATGCTCCACCATGCAGGAGATCTGGTCTTCTGCTGTAGGTGTGTACTCCAGGTAGGAGTGCTTCTGGTAAAGCCAGTTTCCATTGGACATCTCATCAGTGAACGTCACACCAGACGTCACCTCCTCCCCGTTCCTCAGCCATGTCAGAGTGAGGGCTTTGGGATAGAAACGGTAGGCGCTGCACACCAGCATACCAGGTTGGTGACTGCTTCGTGCTTTAGTGGAGAACACTCGGACTTGAGGCTCTTGTGCTATAAAATACAAAAGGTCATGTAAGTTTTTCAGCGGCCTCTTCCATAAGCTAAGGCAGCTTCTGGGGAGTTGCCTTTTACAAAACTTCCACAAACTTGTATCAAGTTTTTGTTGGTATATTGTTATTTATGTTTGAAGTGGGATGCAACACTGATAATAGGATCTGCTGTGATCCAGCAAAATTCACAACCATATGGGGTATTTGTAGAAAGCTACAGTCCTCAAGTTTATTTGATTTTTTTCATTAGATAGCAGATGGTAAAGAATGGATGCATAATTCACATAATTAGGCTTACCCATTAAAATACAAAGGATAGCAAACCCGATGGGGGAGAATAGCTTGACAGAAACTGTCCCCAGTTCACTTTATATTTAAAAACTGTCAGCCCTCACTCTGTATCTGCTTCAGTGAGCCTCAACATTTTGGTCTTAAAATATTTGTATTATCTCACTCTACATGTGTTTTTATTTTGCTATTTTATATGAACATTAATAACTGACAAATGAGGCACCTTTCCCCAGTTTTAACTGAGAGTTGCTAAGCGCCTGCTCCATGCTAAACCAGCTCTGTGGGCGGAAGAGCCGTTACCTTCAACAGCCTCACTCTGGATTGGCTCTTTGGTTGCTATGATACTCATGGTCGGAATTCCACATGTGAAACTCAGCTCCAAATTCATCCCTATATCTGCTAGCCTTGATGAGCTTCATTTTCACTCTGAGGACCTAAAGTACCAGCCTTCTACTGATGCTAGGCCTCATAATTAGGACCAAAGATAAGTCCTCCTCAAGACATGAGACAGCCTTCAACAACCTGCAGGGAACCTTTCAATAATGAATTTAAAATGTAAAAATCTCATGCCTGCTGATTTTTGTCTTAGAAAAGAAAAATGATTCAGAGAAATATTTTGTTGTGGAGACAGTGAAAACATAGATTCAACTCTGCAATGAGAAAATAATACTTGTATGTGTATTGTATACTTATATAAAACTTGTATGTATTTTGAGCTCTGTAAAATTACCTGCTCCCTGAAGATATGTTAACATGTTACGTGTAAGTTCGTCACAATCTCTCTGGGCATTTTTTAAGTCATTTAAAAGACGTGGATTTTGGTTTACGCCATTTGTAATTTCTTTGATCTCTTTTGTGTAGCCGGTGAAGTTCCCCTCTGTAGTGTTGAATGAAACAAAGAGCTGCTTGTTGTAGTATGCTTGGCCAATAACCACAGCATCGTCTTCTGTAGTAAACCGACAATTCTGCAAAGCGTAGGTATAGTGAGCACCTCCTGTAAGATTAAACAACATGATTATTATTACAGTTTTATGTGAATGATCTTCTTATGTCTATATGTATAATTTAAAGCATGGTAAAAAATAAAAATAAAAAAAGTTAATCATTATGTTTCATATGGGACGGTGAACATTAATTAACATGTGTCCGTCCATTATATAAATGTGCCAGAGATATGCAGTCTAATTTGCAGTCCCATTGGCAGAGTGCTATCATGACAAAGGTGGTCTTGCTCTCACTGTATCAAAACCAGTATATAAAAATAGGCCTGTTATTGTTATGTATTATTGTGATGTGAATTTATACTGTGGAAAGATTTCTCTCAGTCTGTCTTTGTGTAAATGAATGTGATTTCTACCTTACACCAGACCATGCCAGACCTCGAGAAGCCTTTTGTTGCACTACCTGTCCTCAAATGTATTTTAAGTTGATTAGGATATGTCTGTGAAACAAAAGTCACTCTGCTGTCATATATATGTAACTTGTATTTCTGTATAAATACTCAGAGCTCAGATGCTCTGGAAGTGACTTGGAGGGGTGACTGAAGAGAAGATACTCAGTAGAGGCTGGTCTCTGGCCAGGGCAGGCCTAGAACCTGTCCATATCTGCTGTAACAAAGAATAAACCTTTTTCTGAATCCAAAAACCCACTGGCCTTCTAAAATTCTGTAATTATTTATTCTTCAGGAGATACATATTTTTTCCACATTCTACTGTCTAAAAATGTGTTTTTATTTTCATCATGCTATCAAAATCAGTACTGACTATTGAGCCTTTTTTAAGTTTAACTATTACATAAAAAGGTTAGAGAGAACAAAAATGATCTGTGACAAACTATTGCAATTTCTGAACAGGAAATAAAGCTACTGTTGTCATCTGGAGTTTTATTATTAAACACAAGTTCAGAGTAATATTTCATAGTCTTACCTGTTTGGAAAAAAAGAGGAAAACACAACAGTAGACTTACTCCTGTATTCATTATGTCTAAAGAGAACAAATATATTGTCCAAAAAGAATCACACTCGTAATAACCAGGAAATAAATGAACTGCAGGCTGAAATTGTTGGTAGGTGCGTCAGTGTGGGGGAGGAGCTGACCTGACCTTAGTGCAATGCATGCGACTTTTCTTTTCTTTTCTCACTTCCTTCTCCTTGATTCCTCTTCTTGATTCTGCAGGAAATAGGTGAGGAAGTCTCACCCAGAGGAGACAAAGCGAAGAGAGAGGATATAAACTCCTCACTAAGACCAGTAAAATTTGATTATTTTATCTGATGTCTGCTTCTGAAGCCTCCCTCATGTTTACTCCCTCCTTCTGTGGTTTTCTTTGGGACACCACTTAAAATGACACATTTTATTGACCTCTGAAGAATGGAAGATCGAGGAAAGGAACCAAGGAGAAGAAAGTGAGGAAACACAAAGGAGAAAATCAACTGGACAAACGTTTATTTAGGTTGAAACCGTTTCACAGCCCTTTCAAGCTGTTTCTTCAGTTCTGGCCAGACACTGGTGGACACTTTCTTATATCTGCCTGCAGGGAGGAGCCAACTACACTGAAATTACTCTGAAACTAACACCCTACTTGTTTACAGTTTCTGTTTGTTAGCTAGGTCTATTCATCTGTATCTGAGTGAGGGGACATATTAGCTTAATCATTCAGGCCCATAATGAGTGTTTTCACACCTCTGGTCCTGACCTGGCTACTCCTATTGTTCTCTTTGTTTTAGGTTTTAGGAGGGAGTTGTAGATGGGAGATGATGTCTAAGACCTCCATTTCTGTTCAAGGAAGGATGGTCTTTCTTAACAAAAATAGTGTCTTTAACGCTTCTCTCAAACCAATGGTTTTCTCTGCACTATCCTCAAAGGAGTGGCTTTCTTTGAGGATAGTCATCCTAAAATTAGGGATGTCCCGATCACATTTTTTGGCCCCAGAGTCCGAGTCATTTGATTTTGAGTATCTGCTGATACCGAGTGCCGATCTGATACTTCTATAAAACATTATAAAATGAACTAAGAGCAAAGAATAAGATGCAGGTTGTGTGGGGGATCAGATTGTGTTGATTTCAATGTGTAGTATTTGGGCTGAACTTGTGAAAAATCAAATGTCCAAAACTTTAATTTTATAAACTTTTCTAACCATTAACCATCATTGTTGAAAATCTGTACTTTTACCACAGTATGGTCTTGGAATGTGTAACTTAGGAAACTTAATGAACTGGACAAAACAGGAACCAGACCAGAATCAGATCCTGAAATTAGACTCTGCCCAATCTAGAGTTTGATATTATATAGAGGCATGTGCATTACACTTGACACATTTAGACTCGTCTATGATCTCTAAATAATACAAAATCTTACCAAATATAAACGAGTTGACAGCAGCCCCACATCCTCTCTCCCCCGGTGGCCCCACTCCACCGCACCGCCACCACATCCACAAACCCACAGCGGAGCGCGCACCGCAACATCGCTCCCATCGCTGGGGATAGAAACGGTAAGCGCTGCACACCAGGATGCCAGGCTGGTGACTGCTTCCTGCTTTAGTGGAGAACACTCGGACTTGAGGCTTTTGTGCTATAAAATACAAAAGGTCATTTTTATTCATACCTGCATTGGTAGATCGATGTTAAGACAAAAAAGGACCCACAGCATACACAAAATGGACAGTAAAGAACACTGCACACGACATGAAAACATTAGAAATCAATGAAATATATTTTGTAGTGTAATTTATATGCAAAAAATATAGTCAGATACTTTATTATAGTATTGATAATGAAAAAAGACCTTTACTGAATAGTTTTGGAATTATCTGGGATCCAGAACACACTTTTTTTTTTAAACTTTACTGAATGAAAATATGAGTCGTCACTAAATGTGAATAGATGTGATAGAATATCCTTCAGCTCCTTTACTTGGGATACCATACAATAATTAATTTACACACTTTTTTTTTTTTTTTCTTAACTTAAAAATATAAAGAATCAATTAAAAATACAGACAAAATTACCTCCTGCACCAACCAATTTAATATAATCTGAGGCAACTTGTTTACAGATTTCAAAGTTGTTTTTCTGATCATCAGCAATATATTTGTTTCTGTTGAGGCCATCTGCGATTTTTATTGCCTCGTTTGTGTAGCCGATGAATCTCCCCTCTGTGCTGTTGTATGACACCAAGAGCTCCTTATTGTAGTAGACCTGGTTAGTATACAGAACGTCATGGCCATCCTCTGCACTGGATTGACCCTTCCCAAAATAGACAATATAGTGTGCCTCTGCAAAAATCAAACATAATTATTACACATTTCCAGTTTTCTGGAGGTGTGAATACCATTACAATAACATAACATTTTAGTTTAGCCATATCAAAAGACAATCATTCCAATCTGACCCTTGCTCACTTTGCTCATCAAATGGGAAAATAACAAACATTAAAGACCTGATCATACAAATCTAAAATACTAGTTGTATTGTTTATTTTAAAGATCCCTGTTAGTCACTACAAGAGCAAAGTCTACTCTTTCTGTTCTCCACTCTCAATCAAATCAAAAGTACGCTCAAAATAAAACCATTACATAGACTACTCTTCATTCATTGACAGAAGAATATATCCTTAATTGTTTTGGAAATTAAAGCTAAACACACAAATAAATGTGCTCCAATGTTGTTCATAGGATGGTTGTAAAAATAAAAAAGGTCAAACAATAAAGTCCAAATTCTGTTGAATAGAGAAACTCATCCGATCTATCAGGAAGTAATCTTGTATCTGACAGCGAGCTACGCACTGACCTATTCGCAGGTCAAGGTGCACCTGAGAGTAATAACTATTCATAACAACAATAGCACGGCAACTAAAAGACAAAACAGAACAACAGACAAACATTGTTTACTCAAAAACAAAGTCCAGTCACATTACTAAGGACTCTTCTCAACTGCTCCATAACTCCTTCACACCTTTACCATCAGGCAAGTGCTACAAAGTCCCTCTGGCCCATAAAAACATATACGGAAAATCTTTCATTCCTAAGGCCATTACCTCTCTGAAATCCACCACAAGAGCTTAGGTCACAGCTGTTGTCTTTAATTGTGATGTCATTTTTACTCATGTATGACTCTTGAAGAATGTTGTGCCTTGTCAAAGAAGAAAAATCTGTCACCTGCTGGTGTGTGTGTGTCTGTCCATCTAAAAACCTCTGCTTTAGATTTCTGGTTTAGATATACCTGCACAGCAATTGCCCCTTTCCCTAAAATAACTGTTTCATTGTATGTAGCCTGTGTTCTTAATTTTTAGGAGCCACTACCTTGTACACATACAAATTCCGAACCTCCAGATTTGACTCACTGAGCTGCAGAGGCTGCACTAGCACTGACTCATGACTGGCTGCAGGTGCTGAGGTTTAGGTAGTGAGGAATCAGAGGCATTTTAGGTTTAAACCAACTGCATTTCAGTAAGGAAACAGGTTGTAAATGATTATATTATATTATAACATTTAAAATAACATTTTTATATTCTGTCACTTTAAAAACTGAGTAACTCTGCATAACCACAAAACATTATAAAAGTTATATAACAATACAACTCCAGAAGACAACAAAGCGTTATGAGTAACGAGTTGTTATGAATATAACCAAAGCAGACAAAGAACATAATCACTTTGTCCATATCACCTAACCCTGGTCAATACATTAAGCTGTTGACTGCCTATAGCGTGCTTTGACAATTAAAAATGTCCCAATTGCGACTCCCAGTAAGGCTACAGTCAGGCCCACTCCACAGTACAAATCAAGTGCCAGGTCTCCATGCTTCTTCACATCCACATCTGTGGAAAAAAAATATTTGGAAAGAGGAATTAGATCACATTTTGAACCACGAAATTAATAAGTTATAGTTATAGTTTATATATTTTACTTGAGTAACATTTGAAGAGAACATGATCTAGATTTTGTACAACATACTTTGTACATCAGTCTGCCCCAGGGCAGCTATGGCTACAATAGTAGCAAAACTGTATCAGTCTGCTGCAGCAAAACTTCTATTTCCCTCTGAATCAATAAAGTATCTCACTCTCTCTAATTGGTTAAAGGTTTTAACCATGTTAAAATGCTGTTCTTGTATCGTTAGCTTACTCACAGTTGTATTTTTACTGATTCATGCATGTTTGGGTTATCCTGTATTGTCCTACAGAGAAATGATATCCTCACTCACATCCCTGTACTTAGTTGCAATTATTTGAAATATTCAAGTCATACACAGTACACAGGGTTCAAATACATAAATGTTTCTGTGTAGACTCTACCCTCCTGACTGGGCGACAGGTGCGTTGGAGGAGAGGTACTTAGCTGAAAATGTGAAACAGTGAGACAGTGTGCAGGAATCTTGAAAATGTTTTTAAATACATAATGTAGCGGCCAAACTTGCCCTGTGCAAGGTCCGCTATGGCTGCAGCATGTACGTGAGAGTCAAAAATACTGTGTTCATTGATAGCATACCTTATAGCTATCCAAAATACACAGATTTACCCTCCACAGACGACGGTCAAAAAACTGTTTATCTCCACACTACAACACCTGTGTGCACCTTTTCTCCCACCTTATATATGGCAGCAAATTACATAACAAATTAGAACTAGTGCCACACAGTGGCTGGACGTGCAGATAGGCCATATGGCTTCAACACGTAAATAAAATCCACAGTAAAATGCCATAGTGAAGAGGTTGATGTCTACATTTTGAATAGGAAGTTTCATTTCCAAGACATTTTATAATTAACAAAATGTAAAATGGTGATCTACTTATGTTGTTATTAGGTCTTATAAGAAATATTATAGGTCTTTTTTCAGGTAAAATCATTTACCCCATGTCCGTGTTTTAGGTTTCTCCAGGTCAGGGTGCTCCACCGTGCAGCTGTACATGTCTCCGTCCTCTGGTATGAAAGTGAGCGTGGAAAAGCAGTGGAAGGTCTGGTCACTGTTGGCGATATAAGCACTGGTGGACACCCCTTCTGACACGGGATGATTGTTTTTGGTCCATGTCACAGTGAGGACTGGAGGGTAGAAACGATCCACAAAACAAACAAGACTGTTTTCCACTTTCAACAGGACTTCTTCAGCTGGATACAAGATGCTTTCAGGGGGGTCTGGGAAGTTCAAATAGAGTAGTTCATATATATAAATTAAAGGATGCTCTATGTAACTTTTCTGGTAGGGATCCTCCACCACCTTGTCTCCATGGAGATGTTATACATATTGCTTTGAGAATTAACCTAAATCTATTATGCATTTATTCAACAAGAGGTGTTTGTATTGCTGACAAATATCTGAAAATGTGCCTTGTGTATGAATGTGTATGCCATAGTGTGGAACATTCTTGGCAGAGCATTAACAGCTCTATGGAAACAGGTTAAGTTACATAATGCACCTTGATGAAATTATATTTACTCTTTACACTTTTTTTTTTTTACCTTTAACTTCTGGTGCTGCCATTTCTGGCAATTTCAGCATCTTAATATATGACTGAGCCCCCAGACATGCCTGTTTTGCTCTCAGTGCGTTTCGATAAATATGTATATATGGGCTTGGGTCAAAAGGAATAAAAGGTGGTATGGTAAATACAACCTCGTTGTTCTGAAAATCTATATACACAGCCAAGTCTCCATCAAAATCGTAAATAACCTGTACGGACCCATTGGGATAGCATCCCACTGAGTAACGAAATTCATGGGAATCTGAAAAAATAAACAGATATGTAAAACGTTATGCTGTACTTTAGAGAGAGAATAAGTACATTAACATGAATAAATACTAGTACATGTGTTAGGTACGGTAATTTATATGCATGCAAGATATTATAATCTGATTATTTGTTTAATAATAATTCCAATGTATAAAAAGATTAATTTTACTTACATTGTGAAAATGCACAAAAGTAGTTGATAAAGAGACAGAGGACACACGCTGACGGTTTCATCCTTTCGAAGAGAATGTTTTTGATTTCCCGAAACAGGAACTAAATATGGTTCGGTCACATGAGCGCAAGATAAAATAAAATAAAATATATAATCTTGAAATAAATCCCAAAATGTTAATACAATTGTTTAAATGACCAAAAAGACAAAAGTGAAACCGCAACAGTAATATGCATTTTAAATTTGTCAAATCTGAGCAAATTTGAAACGGATTGTTGTATAACAGGTTTCCGTCATTTCCTCTAAACAGCGAACTAACAGGTTTATCAGCTCAGACTATGTAAACTTTCTTGCACAGATAGGAGGGTGACACATTGCTGTACTATTACAGGTATTACATGTGATTCTATATGATATTTAAGAGTCTAGACCTATTATTAGTCTATGTTTAGGTCTATATTAGTACATAAATACAGCAGCATTTCAGGCTGCAATTTATTTACACTTTCTCTTTAAATCCGCAAGTGGGCAAATTCCACCAGGAAGCAGTAGCAGAGTATTGAAATACAAATGGATTGTATAGTATGAATGCTGTCTGTATGTTGTGTGAATGTTGTCTTAGTCTGTCTTTTGTTCTGTTTTGATTTGTTTTTTCTTTCTCTTCCGTAAATGCTGCTTTTGTTTTTCTTAAAACACTCTGCACAAGGCAGACATGAGAATATAATAGAAGTGGCAATGGTTATCAGATGAGTAAATTAAATAATATTAATGTGCACAAAACTTTAGAGCTAGTTGAAAAGTGCTGTCATTACTAGAGCTATATTATTAATGAAGAAGTCAAACAATATTTAACCTACATTAATAAAGAAAAACAATTGGCCTACATTATTGTGTGCATTGTTGTAGCTGTTGCAGTAGATATTATTTATTATTACTATTTTGTGAATGTGTTTTTTTTTTTGTGTGTTTTTTTTGTTGTTGTTGTTTTGTTGTTTTTTTGTTTTTGGCTTACCTCTGACCTCGAGTGGTAAAGTTGGATATTGCATGTGCACGCGCCCTGTGCATGTAGTTCAGAAATATACAAGAGAAATAGTATGGACAGCTCTGAGAAAGACGGAGAAATGCACAGAAAATGTATGGACTGACAACTCCTAAATGTTAAGGGTCAGAAGGGGCACATGGTTTGTTCATTTGGATTTTGTTTTATTGCATATACTTTGTGTTTATATATAAAACACAATATAAACACACCAATGAAACTGTACAGAAACTCAGGCAATTACCCGTCCACCCAAAAGATAAAATAAAACTGGAGCAAAAATGTAATGTTATATACAAAATACCCTGCATGTCCTGCAATAAAACACACATCGGGGAAACAGGGAGAGCGTTCAGTAGACGAAAGAAAGAACACAGAACTGAATGCGAGAAGGAAACAGCAAAAGCGAAATACAAGCAACAAAACAGAAAGTAGAACAGGAACAACTCAAATCAGCTGTTTTCGACCACTGTAAAAGAGAGAACCACATTATGAACTGGGATGGAGCAAACATCACTGGGACAGAGGAAAACAAATATCATTGCTGGATTAAAGCGGGAATTGAAATATGGAAACGTGCCAGTGGGAGTATAAACCGGGATGAGGGGGCTTTTTTACTCTCACACATCTGGGATACTGTCCTGAGGAAGTCAGACTGCAGATGGCGCTGTCGTCCTGCCTCATACGGTAGTAAGACAGTGCCAAAACCTGTATAAATCATCTGACCATACATGTCACAGAAACATCACGAGACCACTCTGAGGAAGACCGCCAGTGAGCAGTCGAAACTGTCTGGTATGAAAACAAACTCTTGGTCTGAAAAAAGAAAAAAAAGAACCTAATAACAAATGCATGTGCAGAAGTGACTGGGCCGCTGTGACATCTTAATCTTGAAAAAAGTGGTGATATATGTGAATTTTTATGCAGTTTATGGAGTCTATGGTGGTCTTTTTATATTCTTTTATACAGTCTATGGTGGTGAGGCATCTGCTAGATCAGGGGTGAGCAATTTTTTTTTTCATGGGGACACATGAGAAACAGAAATTTTTGTGGAGGGCCAAAATGCTTAACTCAGTTCTGCATAATATTAATTGTATTTCTTTATTTAAAACAATACATTTCTTTGTTTTTGACAAGCTGGTAAGATTGGTAAGAGTATATGTTATGACTAAGCAATGAAAAAATTAGGTTGCCTTGCAAAAAATGTAAAAAAAATAAAAATAAATAAAAAATGTAAACGGGGGGTCAGAGTCAACCAAATGGCCGTATGTCGCTCTGGAGCTGCCAATGGTCTGTACTAGATGGAGGTTAGAGTCATAATAAAATAAAAATAAAATAAATGGTAAAATAGACTAAATTTACAATATGGGCAGAACAACAGTGCAAGCAGGTTAGTTACAGTTGTTTAAAGTGACAGTAGCGGGTGTTAGTCTTCATGAGTCCAATGGCAGAGGGGAAAAATCTGTTCTTGGGGCGGGAGGCTCTGGCCCGAATGGACCGTAGCCTCCTGCCCAAGGGAAGTGGTCTCAAATATTTCATGTCTAGGGCGAGAAGAAGAAGAAGTACAGGTCCCAAAGAGATGGGAGGCCAATCACCTTCTTGGATTTGACATTAAATAGAGCTACCTTGCATTTATTCAATTACAGTTTTACTTTAATTTCTCAAAAAACAGGCATTCTGACTGTGAGCTGTTTGCTTCTCCACAGATCTGACCCGTCTGGTTTTATTTCCATAAAAAGGTTTAAGGCCATACTGTGATACATTCCAGAGAAAGTAATATCATTTCCATTTGATGGAGGCATCACCAGAAAAGTTACACAATGCACCTCTAAGGGAGTCACCACTAGGCTGTGCGCTTGTACTTTGTTTTCACGATGAGACTGCTGTTACCGTATTTTTTATACACAGTACGCTTTCCTCCCAGACTAAATTATTGTATCAATATGTAGGGGAGAGACATAATAGGTACATACTGATTAACAGAAAATCTATTTTCATCGAGAAATGGTACGCTAAAGGAATATGGGCTGTAGCTCACTTCTTGGATGATGAAGGACTTATTTTACAACGTTCTGATTTCTGTCAGAAATTTCAAATTCAGTGTACCAAAAGAAAATATAATCAAGTTATAAAAGCTATTCCATTACAGATTAGAACTATGGCTAGGCAGGATATGGTGTACTCTACTGTACCACCGTACAATACACCACCGTACTGAAGGGGTTGAATTTTGTGATTCAAAGTGCAATAACACATTTTTGAGATGTTCCTTCAACGATTCCTTTCCCAAGCCAGTTAAAAGAGATTATATTCTTAAAAGGAACTTTGAAAAGAAAGATATTAAAATAATTTGAACTAAATATCTTTACTTTCCAGTTCCACCTAAAGTAAAGGAGATACAATTTATAATTTTGAATAAAATTTATCCAACCAATGAATTCCTAAAACAAAAATTCTAATTCGAGACGGGTAAATGTGTGTTCTGTGACACAGGGGAAGAAGACTTGGAACATCTTTTCTTTTCATGTAATTTGGTACAACAATTTTGGTTTGATTTTCCTTCATTGCTTCAGTCTAGGGAAATTCAATTTGCGCCTCTAACCATAAAAGAAATTATATTTGGTGTATTAAGAGAAGATAAAAGGAAGGAATTTGGAATTAATAATTTATTAATCTTAGGTAAATTTTTTATTCACAGATGTTGATGTTTTAAGGTAAAACCAAATAGTACTTTAGGAATTTTTGTTGACTCATTGAACCTCATTGAAAAAAGAGAAGCCGGGTTTCTTGTATCCTTTTTGAATGATGTCAAGTTGTTCCTTTGATTACATGCTTTAGAATTTGCCCCCATATTTCGTTCATGAATGTATTTTTGTTTTTCTTCACAACTGTGATTTACTACTACTACTACTACTACTACTACTACTACTACTACTACTAATAATAATAATAATAATAATAATAATTATTATTATTATTATTATTATTATTATAAATAAATAAATAAATAAAGATGCAGGGGAGAGCGATATTGTTATAAATATTTCCTGTAGATATTATAGGTTTTAATAGCTTTTTTGTTTTGGACCTGTTTTATTGTTTGAACATATTGCTGAATTTTGTTATTATACTGATGACCATCTGGTTTGTTTTGAGTCCATTTTGTTTTATGTATATGATACTTGGCCAGCATGAGAGTCTGAATGAGGAAACAGAGATCATTGGGGATGTTGAAAAAGAAAAGGACGACACTTTCCTGGAGACTGATCACGTGTCTGGTTTTAGATTGGATGAGTTGTTATATGTGGGTCCAGATGTTTCTACTGTTCGTACAATGGTAAAACAGGTGAGTGATTGTTTCTGTTTCGCTGTGACAGAAGTCACAGTTGTAATCTATCTCTAATTTGAATCTTTCTAAAGATTCTCTTCTCTCTGCCCTTACTCCGTACACACAACCATTGCTCTTAATCTAATCTTTCAACTAGGGCCGGGCACGTTTAAGTTTGACATCTTTTCTTTACACTTTTTTCTGACCCGGCCCGGCTCCGGCCCAGCTCTGGCCGCGGGCTCCGGCTCTGGCTGGACCAGCAGTGCGCTATGAGCAGAGCTTATTTCTTTAGTTCAGTGCTGCAGGGGGAGTCACTTACCCAGATACCACTGGAAGAAAAAATGTGATTGGTCCATTTCCATTCCATTATATTAACCCTTTGATTCCTAAGAAATATCAGTCCAAGTTTAAAACAATGATCTAGAAATTATTACTAGTGTAGTGTTTATTACTCACTGCATAAAAAATATTCAAAAAATATATTAGTAGTACGAAAGTCCATTCAGTATTTTTTCTTGAGTCTTCACTGAATACCTTGAAGGCTCTGAGGATTCCCCTGTGAAAGAAATGCTTCTTTGCACAACAAATGTATGGCTCTTTCATTTACATTTCCAATAAGTGCGCTATACTGTTATACTCTTATACTTTTTAATTCATTAATTGATTTTGCGTATAACATCCAATTAATTGCGATTAATCACGATTAATCACTCGAAGTCATGCAATTAATTTATTTATTTATTTTTTTTTGCCCAGCCCTACTATCAACATCTTGGTCAATATTTGCCATCTGCAAGTTTATTGCACCAAATATGTTAAAATGTTCTGTTAACTATCAGTACTGTTCTGAGCAACTGGAGCACATTGTTTTGTTTGTTTACTTTACACTTGAATTTACGCTAGTGGTGACCATTACCTTTTGGTGCGTTGTTGGTTTGCACTAGATAATATGTTAAATACATTTTTATTTTATAATATTTTATTATTATTATTGTACACGTCTTGGACTGCAGATAAGTAATTATAATTAATAATTATTATATTAGATTACTAATTATAATTAGTAATTATTGTATTCAATTACTAATTAGCACTCTTCTTTCTGCCCTTACTCCATAAGATCCCATGAGTCAACTGTCGTCTTTATTGGAATTCATCAAAATAAATGTGCTGGCTGCCACTAATTCCACAATAAAAATAAAAATAAAATTTAAAACCCAACCAAATAAAACACAAACGCTGTGTCCTGCTCTCCAGACCCCATATGGCCCTTCATACATCACTAAACACAACGCAGGGTCCTGAGGATGGGTGTGCTGAGACAACTGGGACCACATATAGACAGAGTCAGTCCGTGACAGTTAAACACTTTTAAGTAAAAATACACATACAAAAATACTAGAGTACTAGTTACTTTTCAGATAGATCAGCCACATTTTGGATTATCTTTTTATATAAGTTGAACAGTTTAAAGCTGAATTTAGTTGTTTCAAACCACAATCTGCATATTCTCAGCACAGTATCTTGTGTCCTATTTAGCCAGACAATCACAATACTGTGCTGGTAATTGTATTTGTAGGTATAGAAACGGGCAGAGGCAGTTGTGGATGGAGACTTGTGCTGTACTCAGTACTCATATGAATTTAAATATAACTAATTCCAATAACATGGCTAGAATTATGCTCAACAAGTACAAATACAGGTTTAAAAATCTACTCAAAAAATATAATTACCTAAAAAATCTGCTCAGTTACAGTAACATGAGTATTTACTTTTCATCCCTGCAAAAAATGTATCACTATTATTGGTGACTAACATAATAAAATCTAAAGTCTAAAAGCCTTCAAATTTAAGAAGAAAATTACAATGTTTTAAAAGACAAACCTTGACTAATAAATATTAAGTGGAGTCTGCTAAAAATAAAACAACAATTGCAGGTCTATTCCTCTTCTGTCCATTTTCTTAATATTGGGGCACCAATACATGACCTAAAAAGAACAAACACAGATTAAACACATATTAAATAGGCTCAATAGGCGCTCATTATTTATTTGATCTTTTATATACCTCTGGTTGATCAATGAGTAAATTTAAGGTAAATGTATTGTGCACTTGTAAAAATTCTGGTGTAAGGATTGCCACCTTGGAAATGTTACGGTTTTGCTTTGCATGTTTCATAGTTTGGCCTTAAATGCATCTGTCTCCATGGAGACAAAGAGGTGGTGCCTCCATAGTCTATGGAAAAATGTTCAGCAGTTTCCTGTCGCCACTAGAAAAGTTACAAAGTGCACCAAATAAGCTCGTGTGAGGGTGATAAATCCCCCTCTAGAGCTTTGGAGCCCATTCTCACCTTCTGTGTGTTTTTTGTAATAAATGACTCCAGCAATAAGAAAGGCCAGTCCCAGCAGCAGCCCTGCAGTCCCAACTATCAGCTTGTTTCTTCTCGACTCTGGAAAGTTCTCTGTGCCAAAAATACAGAAACATTATGAAAGCTCAGAAGAGAGTTTAAAAGACTGAAGCCGGGACTTATCCTACCCAGTGGGTAGAGCTGAGGAGTGGAGAGGCTGGCATGCTCCACCATGCAGGAGATCTGGTCTGCTGCTGTAGGTGTGTACTCCAGGTAGGAGTGCTTCTGGTAAAGCCAGTTTCCATTGGACATCTCATCAGTGAACGTCACACCAGACGTCACCTCCTCCCCGTTCCTCAGCCATGTCAGAGTGAGGGCTTTGGGATAGAAACTATAGGCGCTGCACACCAGCATGCCAGGTTGGTGACTGCTTCCTGCTTTAGTGGAGAACACTCGGACTTGAGGCTCTTGTACTATAAAATTCAAAAGGTCATGGAAATATGTGGAAGTGTGGAACATTATTATTCATGTTGGTTGCTATGATATTTTAGATCACATGTCTGAAATACTAAAAAGGGGCTAAACAGCTTTCTGGACTCCCCTCAGGTCCAGAATTGATTTCTTGTTATCAGCCGTCCCATTCCTAGCTGTCCCATACAAAAGTGTTCAGAGGAACATTTGTACTTCACACCAGGCTGAACTCAAAGTGTGCATAACGCAAAATTCATCTCTTTTTTTTTTTTCGATATTTCAACCCCTTCTGTAAACACCCAGCCCTTTTTTAGTGTCCATCTAAATCCTCCAGGCTCACGTACATCACATATATATTTTCTATAATTTGGCCTTTAACACCAAAGTTCAAGGTTCACTGTCCTCATACCAACCCTCATGTCCGAAACATGGTCACCCATTCAAGTGAGTGGGCTGAGCTCAATGGCGCTTTTCTCTAGATTGGCCTTTGGCAGTTAAGTACATCCATGGGTACGTCCAGTGGCTCTCCTGCACACTGAACATGTGCACTTCTCTCACTCAGGCACACGAGAATGTCTGTGAAGAGCGCAGTCGCATCTAAAATTGACACAAAATCTGACTGTTTGGAAGATGTAGTTTGTTTTTACATTATGCTCTATGGAAAAAACACATCCTGCGTAGGAGGGATTTTTTGCAGTACCAAAGAGTGGCCACTAATAGAAAGAGGAAATGAAAGATTGAACTCTTGGGTCTGGTCAGAAGATGGCCTATGTATTTCACATCTAAAGCTGAGTGTGGGTTTTGAGGGATGACCAGAGTTCTGTGAATTTCCACTCCCATGTCTATGAACCATTAACTCAGTTTTACACAAATAAAAATATTCACATTTACAAATCAATATGCAAACAATAGTGACAATATTCACAGCATGTTCAATTTACATCGTTCCTCTTATTTAGCTGAGAGTGTTCAAACAAACAGCTTTGTGTTTGTGTTTTATTTGTATCTTGGTCATGGCATGTTTATCTGGATTTTTTTCAGGCAATAGCATATATATATATATATATATATATATATATATATAATGTGTTTCTCACCTTCCATGGTGGTTGGTCTCTCTCACCCTCATCCTGCTCGGGTCCTGGCCTGGGAGCCTGAGAGTTCTGCGCAGTATCTTTGCTGTTCCCAGTACTGCACTTTTCTGGACTGAGATGTCCGTTGTTTTTGCGGTATCTGTTGTAGCCACTCTTCCAGTTTGGCGGTTACGGCCCCAAGTGCTCTGATCACCACAGGCACCACTGATGCCTTCACTTTCCTGGCTTTCTCCAGCTCCTCCTTGAGCCCCTGGTATTTCTCTAGTTTCTCGTGTTCCTTTTTCCTGATATTACCATCGCTTGGTATTGCGATGTCCACCACCACGGCTCTGCTCTGTTTCTTATCCACCACCACTATGTCTGGTTGGTTCGCCATCACCATCCTGTCAGTCTGTATCTGGAAGTCCCACAGGATCTTGGCTCGGTCATTCTCCACAACCTTTGGAGGTGTTTCCCACCTTGATCCTGGGGTCTCCAGCCCGTACTCTGTACAGATGTTTCTGTACATTATGCCCGCCACTTGGTTATGTCGCTCCATGTATGCTTTCCCTGCCAGCATCTTACACCCTGCAGTTATGTGCTGGAATGTCTCAGGAGCCTCTTTGCACAGTCTACACCGTGGGTCTTGTCTGGTGTGGTAGATCTGGGCAGCCAGGATGAGAGCCTCCATGCTGTCCTTCAGACCAGCCCTCTCAAGCCATTGGTAGGATTTCTTGATATCAGCCACTTCAGTCAAGTTCCCGTGATATGCCCCATGTAGGGGCTTGTCCTGCCAAGATGGTCCCTCCAGCACCTCTTCCTCTGGACCCCACTGTCTGAGACATTCTCTGAGCACCTCATCTGCCGGGGCCTTGTCCTTGATGTACTCAAGGAGCTTGGATGTTTCATCCTGGACAGTGGTTCCCACACTCACTAGTCCTCGGCCTCCTTCCGGCCTGCGTACAGTCTCAGGGTGCTGGATTTGGGATGGAACCCTCCATGCATGGTCAGGAGCTTTCATGTCTTAACATCTGTGGTTTGTATCTCCTCCTTTGGCCAGCTTATGATTCCTGCAGGGTATCTGATCACTGGCAGGGCGTAGCTGTTGATTGCCTGCACCTTGTTCTTGCCATTGAGCTGGCTTCTTAGGACATGTCTCACTCTTTGCAGGTATTTGGCCGTAGCCACTTTCCTTGTTGCCTCTTCGAGGTTGCCATTTGCTTGTGGGATACCAAGGTACTTGTAACTGTCCTCAGCATCTGCTATTGTTCCCTCTGGGAGTGAGACCCTCTATGTGGACTACTTTCCAAACAACCAGTAAGTGTCCATCAAATGTGGCATATACTGAGGAGACTCACTGTCCCCACTGCTGTTCTGCATAGGTCTGAACCCCCTCAGCCAAATCATCGACCGCACTGGCTACAGATACCAACTCAGAAACGGGGCCACCATCAGTCACTTCCTCTACGTGGATGACATCAAGCTGTACGCTAAGTGCGAGCGAGACATCGACTCACTGATCCACACCACAAGGATCTACAGCACAGACACTGGAATGTCATTCAAGCTTGAGAAATGTAGCAGAATGGTGACAAAGAGAGGGAAGGTAGTCCACACAGAGGGGGCCACACTCCCAGAGGGAACAATAGCAGATGTTGAGGACATTTACAAGTACCTTGGTATCCCTGGCTGCTCAGGAGCAGGCCCTGGGCATGTGAGCAATAGAGGCCCAGATCTACCACACCAGACAAGACCCACGGTGTAGACTGTGCAAAGAGGCTCCTGAGACAGTCCAGCACATAACTGCAGGGTGTAAGATGCTGGCAGGGAAAGCATACATGGAGCGACATAACCAAGTGGCGGACATACTGTACAGAAACATCTGTGCAGAGTACGGGCTGGAGACCCCAGGATCAAGGTGGGAAACACCTCCAAAGGTTGTGGAGAACGCCCGAGCCAAGATCCTGTGGGACTTCCAGATACAGACTGACAGGATGGTGATGGCGAACCAACCAGACATAGTGGTGGTGGATAAGAAACAGAGCAGAGCCGTGGTGGTGGACATCGCAATACCAAGCGATGGTAATATCAGGAAAAAGGAACACGAGAAACTAGAGAAATCCCAGGGGCTCAAGGAGGAGCTGAAGAAAACCTGGAAAGTGAAGGCATCACTGTGGTGATCGGAGCACTCGGGGCTGTAACCCCCAAACTGGAAGAGTGGCTACAACAGATACCGCAAAAACAACGGACATGTCACTCCAGAAAAGTGCAGTACTGGGAACAGCAAAGATACTGCGCAGAACTCTCAGGCCTCTGGTAGAGGATGAGGGTGAGAGAGACCAACCACCGTGGAAGGTGAGAAACACATTTATTTTATTTTTTTACACTGGTTTTCACATCATTCAGGTTAAAAGGACTACCTATTGAATCTTATCTTTCTTCAGCATCGGATGGTTATTGTATATTTACCACACTTTATATATCCTCTACCAAAGAAAACATGTATTTCATGTATTTATGTATTTCGAACTCTGTAAAATTACCTGATAATGGAAGATACTTTAATCCTTTAGATGCCATTTGTGTGCTGCATTCTTGTATATGTCTTTCAATATCCTCAAACACGCTCTTATAGTACTTTTGGATAAATGTATCCACTAGTTTTGCTTCATCTGTGTAGCCGATAAATTTCCACTCTGTACTGTTGAATGATAAAAAGAGCTGCTTGTTGTAGTATAATTTGAAAATAAACACAACATCACTGCCATCTTCTCCACTATACAAACAGCTCCAAACACCATAACCATAATTGACACCTGAAAGACAAGAATATGATTAGAGTTTCTATTGATCATCTTATGTTTGTGTAATTTAAAGTCTCACCCTCACCCACATGCTTGCAAACACACATGCCCTCACACAAACACACACACACACGCACACACACTCACGCTCAAACTCAGACACACATGCACTCACACACACTCAGACGCACATGCACTCATACACACATGCACGCACACACACACACACACACACACACACACATAGACAAACAGGCACACTCACACACACACACACGCTCACACTCAGATGCACATGCACTCACACACACACACCACACACACAAACACACAACCACACACACACAGGTACAGATAAATGAGGCTGAGTAGAGATAAACCAACTCATGAAGAATCATCAGAGAATCTCTCTGCATCAGGAGCAGAGAGCCATCTGCCCACTGCTCCCAGTGGTGTACGTATAAATAAATAAATAAATAAATATATGTATATGAGAGAGATAGATAGATAGATAGATATATACACAAACTAGAATATAAAATAGCTAAATAGTAGGCCTAAAATTCTACAAGCTGCAGCAGTGTATTACAGTTTTAACTCTGCATGCCATGGTACTCTAGACTCCGTTGTGTTAAAATTGTAATGCACGGCTCCTCCTTGTTTAATTCTTTCTATTTTTGTTATCATCTTGCTTTCAAAATCAGTATTTAGTATTAAGTCTTTTTCTAATATTGTGCAACAGCTTATTGCCTTCACAAGAATAAAACTGTCATGTTATCATGATCATCAACACTTTCTGTTTTAACAAGAAACCTTTTTGAGTTTTTGATAAAAATTCAGTTTTTATGAGGCCAAACACTTGCATGCCACTAACAGCATGAGAGTGTTTTAAATGCACAAATTTTTAAAAGATATATAAAGTATAAAAGATCATAAAACAGGATTCATTTTATGTCTTTAAAAAGGTTTAACCTCATAAAAACAAAAACTTTTTTATTCAAGTGAGTGCAGTACATTTCCCTATGTTTTGTCTCTAACCACGAAATGAAAGCTTACGGGATAAAACATACAAGGCTTTAAACGGATCACTGGGACAAATTGCCATCTATAAAGCCATTAATGGTTGGTCTATAAGTGGGAAAAAGTCATAATTATTTTATATCTTAAAATAGGATTAACTTCACTCATCAAACAGAAACTTTTTTATTCAACTGAGTACAAAATGCTTCTTATTAAGATGCCATATCAAAGGTTCAAAGATCATTTTTATGTTCTTATAGGCTAGTTAACTCACCTGTTGTGTGGTTGAAGATAAACAGAGCAAAACATGTTAGTAAACTTACTCCTGTCTTCATTGTGTCCAAAGAGAAAAAAAAAGTATACTTAATGAACAGGAGAATGCAACAATAAAAGTGTGAAGGTGTGATAGTGAAGAAGAGGACCTGACAAGACGAGACTGACGAGACTGACGTGACATCTTAAGTTACTGAAAGGTGATATGTTGTAATAGCATGCTTTACATTCTTTAAAGGCCCTGTCACACCTTGACGTACCAGAATTTCCCTAAAACACTGGCATACGCTGAACCATCGATGTTTTTTTTTCTATTTTGGGCGTGTACACAGCGTATTTATAACGAGTTGGACGTATACATAACGTATTAGTAACTTATATAGAACTTTTTTATAACTTATAGATAACTTATACCAACTAATTGTGGTACACCTAAAAATGTGTCACCACATTTAATAATTGTTATGGTAGCTATCATTATCATTATTATTGTTATTGATAATAATTTCTAATAATTAAGAGGATATATTTCCTTTTTTTTTGCATAAATTCGTTGTACTGTGTGGATGTTGGGGAGTTGGGAGAAATTCGCGGGCGGAACCTTTGACGCTTGTCGCGCGTTCCCCCCCCCCGGGTGTTTGTGGCGGACCCATCCCCCGGTCCCCCTTAAACATATCTGGGAAGGAAACGCAACTGTGGCAGTCATTGTTTTCCTAAGACTCTCTCTCTATTCCACAGATTAATTCTTTTTGTTGTCGTGTCCGCACCTGGGACCGGTAACAAACTGTGGGGGCTCGTCCGGGATCTCTCCTCTTCAGTCGTTGAGGACAGATCCAGTGATACCAGAACCGCGACACAACCATGACCAGAGCACTGCTACAGCCAAGCCAGCCAGTGGGCGTCCAGGAGGGAGATTAAGGATCTTCGCCTCAACGGGGAACCGCACTGTGGCAAGGAAAGTGCAGCATACTCTAGCCGCTAAAGAACTATCAGACAACCACCAAATATACAGACATGTCGACACAAAGAAAGGAATTGGTCTGGAGCATCCGAGGACGTTTGTTTACACTCTCCAGTCAGGACCTCCTTGAGTTAGCTAAGAACGTTGCAGTAGAAAGCAAAGACACTGTGCAGCTCCGTGCAGATGATAAAGAGGGTTGCATGGACTATGTCACTTCCTACTTGCAGTCAAATACACTGTTACAACTTGAAGATGAGGGCTTGAGCCAGTTGTTAGTGCTGAATGATCTGATAAGCCAAATTACCCAGGCAAGGGATGCCGTTGTACTAATGACTGATGAAACTGAAGTACGTACCATGCCCAGTCCACATCCCTCCAACATCTTGTCAGGTCCACAATCACCTGATGGTCCACCCGATATACCACTTCATGTGAACACAGATACAGAAACACAGTCAGTAGAGGAGCTGAGGAGAGCGTATGAGAGCCTGGGTGAGAGGCTAAGACTATGTGAAACAGTTGCGACACAGCCACCTGCCATGCCAAGCCATCCAGGCCGCTCACAACCACGTCCACAAGTTAGTCCAGAGAGGATAGTCGCCCTCAGGGACCTTTCCTATTTGTCCCGCAGAGAATTCAAAGTGTTTGGTGGACAGATTGGAGACAATAATTCAGAAATCAGTTACAACAGTCTCACCAAGCAGATCAATGAAGGGGTCAAAGAGGGATTTGCGGAAGCTGAAATTGTGAGAGGTGTGCTGAGGATCGTCAAGGCTGGCACCTTCAGGGACATGTTAATGCTCAAAGATGACCTGTCTCTCCATGAACTTCAGGGTTTCCTCAGGTCCCATCTTGGTGAAAAGGCCACAACTGAGATGTTCCAGGAGCTGATGTGTGCTAGACAAACAGAACAAGAATCACCTCAGCAGTTTCTATATCGCATGATTGGACTCAAACAGAAGCTGATTTTTCAGTCAAAACAGGCCAACACAGACATCTCCTATGACCCAAGAACAGTCCAGGAGGTTTTCCTGCACACAATCTATCAAGGCCTGGGAGCTAAGTATGCAGACCTGCGACGAAGACTAAGACCCCTCACCTCAAGCAGTAGTGTCACTGATGAAGAGATTCTTGCCGAGGTCACAAAGATTATCAGCGATGAAAATGAACATCAGAGAAGGTTAGGCCAAGCTGCCCGCCAAAAGGCTGTACCAGCTCAAAGCGCAGTGATTGAAACAAAAGACAAGGAAGCCAAAGGACAGCAAACTTCACCAACCATCAAAGAACTTGCAGCCCAAGTAGAAACTTTAACTAACATGGTGGTTAGTTTAATGGAACAAAAAGCAACAAAACCTCACCACCCTTCATCACAACCACCCACTGACCAAACTCGAACAAACCCTCCCAAACCTCCTCAAAAGAGAACGTTTCTTTGTCCAAAGTGCGCTGAAGCAGAACTTGCAGGACTGTAGTCATTGCTTCATGTGTGGTGAGCCAGGCCACAGAGCAGTGGGATGCCTAAAGCGGACAAGGATTCAGGGAAACTGGGATCGGTCTCTGTCGAGGGACAGCCAGCGGCCGATACCGAGTCACAGTCCCAGCCAGTAAAGCCTTCCTCCACCCTGTCCACTGTGCCACGCCCCAGACATCATAGTATGCGAGACAAGAGAAAAGAATGTGTTTCCTCCTGCCAGAGCTCTACCTCTACAACCTGCCAAGTTCCCCTAGTTGGTAAGAAAAGTCTGCTGAAGTGCTTGATTGGTGGCTACCCAGTGACAGTGTTATTCGACTCAGGTTCACAAGTGAGCATAGTCGACAGGCAGTGGGTCAAGAGGTTTATCCCCACCTACCAAGTGAGACCACTCCACGAGCTGCTGAATGATGAACTTGAGGTTTATGCAGTTAACGGCCAAGCAGTTCCTTACGATGGGTGGGTGGAGCTCACAGTCACCCTGGCTGGTCACGAAGATCCCAACCTCACAGTACAAGCTCCATTCCTAGTCAGTAAGCTCTCTCTCCCACAACCACTAGTAGGAGCTAATGTGCTTGGAGCCATTATCCAAAGGCAGAAGTCAGATGAGGAGGCCGATGCCACACTGTACAGTCTGTTACGCAGAGCTTTTGGAATGGATGAAGAACAGGTAGTGGCCATAGTGAACTTTATACAGGTGCCACAAAGAGTTTATTGTGACCCCGCCACGGTGAGGATCGGAAAAGACAATGTGCCTATTCCTGCTGGCAAAGCAGTTCAAGTGTGGTGCCGGGTACCCCAAAATTTCGACGTCTCTGACCCCCTTGTCCTGTATGAACCAAACGAGAACATTGCTTTAAGACATTTGAGTGTAGGAGAGGGACTCCTAGAGATTAACAACCCCCGAAGACCATTCGTTAAGATTCCCATCTCCAACCACTCCAAGCATGAAGTAATCCTGCCAAAGAGGACAACCCTTGGCACCATTCAGCATGTTGTGAAAATTATTGAGACAGACGCACCAGAGCCAACTCAGTCCAGACAGACCTCAGTTACTGCAGTTGAGGTAAACAAAGTCACCTCCCCTCAAGATTCAGCCACCAAGTCCTGGTTACCCCCTGTCGACCTTAATCATTTGAGCCCAGACCAGCGGAGGTCAGTTGAAAAAGTGCTGATCGAAGAGTGTGAGGCATTCTCCCGCGACAGTACCGACATCGGCTGCATTCCTTCACTACAAATGGAAATCAGACTCAAAGATGACACACCAGTCCAGAGGGCCTATGCTTCCATACCAAAGCCCCTTTACAGGGAAGTAAAGGAGTATATTCAAGAGCTAATTGTTAAAGGATGGATTGTCAAGTCACAGTTCGCCCTATGCCGCCCCTGTCATCTGCGTGAGGAAGAAGGACGGATCTTTACGTCTGTGTATTGATTACCGGCTTTTAAATAACAAGACTGTACCTGATCGACATCCGCTTCCCCGGATCCAGGACCTCACAGACTCCCTCGGGGGGTACAGCTGGTTTTCAATCCTGGACCAGGGTAAAGCCTACCATCAAGGCTTCATTGCAGAAGGCTCAAGGTACCTGACAGCATTTACAACTCCATGGGGCCTTTACGAATGGGTGAGGATACCCTTTGGGCTGTCAAATGCTCCAGCAGCTTTTCAACGGAGCATGGAGGAGATGCTCGACACGCTCCGTGATGAGTGCTGTATTCCTTACCTTGATGATGTGCTGTGTTTCTCCAAGTCATTCGATGGACATGTCCAAGTGCTGCAGAAAGTTCTCCAAGCCTTGCAACGCCATGGTGTGAAATTGAAGCCTGAGAAGTGTGAACTGTTCCGCAAAGAAGTACGGTATGTCGGCCGTTTGGTGTCTGCAGATGGAGTGAAGGTTGACCCTAAAGACATTGAAGCTGTGCAGGCGCTCAAGCACAAGAACCCACAAACTGTAGGAGAAGTCAGACAACTTTTGGGGTTCTTAAGCTACTATCGGACATATGTGCAGGATTTTTCTCGCATAGCCAAACCTCTGTATGATCTACTCCAAACTCCAACTGACGCACCACCACCCAAGCCAACCAGAGGCAGAGCGAAATATGCCCAACGACCTTCCCGAGCTCTGGTACAGTGGAACAAGGAACACCAAGGGGTCCTCGAGCGCTTGATTGACATGCTCACCCAGCCACCAGTGTTAGCATACCCGGACTTCACCCTTCCTTTTGTACTACACACGGATGCCTCCCAGAAAGGCCTCGGGGCTGTCCTATACCAAAATCAAGACAACAAGATGAGAGTGATTGGATACGGATCACGCACACTAACATCTGCCGAACAAAACTACCACTTGCACAGCGGAAAACTGGAGTTTCTCGCCCTCAAGTGGGCAGTTTGCGACAAGTTTAAGGACTACCTCTATTATGCGTCACATTTCATTTCACCGTTTTCACAGACAATAATCCCTTGACATATGTCCTCAGCACTGCTAAGCTCAACGCAGTCGGACATCGTTGGGTTGGACAACTGGCAGATTTCCACTTTGACATAAAAGTATCGTCCAGGAAAGGTTAACATCGACGCTGATGTGTTGTCTCGCTGTCCACTTGACATTGACACTTTCATGAAGGAGTGTTCAGAGGAACTGTCGGAGGAAGCCATCGGTGCGGTTTGGGAAGGGAGCAGAAGAGCCAAGCAGGGTGATGTAGCCTGGATTGCAGCCCTTAATCTGGCCACACCCAGCCAGCCCCTCCAACCCCTGCAATCTATCAGCCACGACAAACTCGCTCAAGAACAGAGAGCAGACTCAGCGATTGGGAAAGTCATTGAAATGAAGGAGCAAGGCATTTCACCAACAGAGAATGACAAAGTTGATGCACACACAAAAAGACTGTTGAGAGAGTGGAGTCGGTTAAGCATGGAGGATGGCCTGCTCTACAGGAAGACCACTGAGCGCCAACAACTAGTTCTGCCTGCCGTTTACAGACCTCTCGCTCTAACACACCTCCACAACAACATGGGCCATGTTGGGGTTGAGAAAGTCCTAAGTCTGGCTCGGGAGCGATTCTATTGGCCTTTCATGAAAAGAGAGATCGAAGAGTACGTCACCAGGAAGTGTCAGTGCATAAAGCAAAAGAAACCTGCTACGCACGAGAGAGGGCACCCATGGGCAGCATAACATCCAGTTCCCCACTTGAGCTTGTTTGCATTGATTTTCTGCACTTAGAGTCCTGCAAAGGGGGGTTTGAGTACATACTTGTGGTGGTGGACCATTTCACCAGGTTTGCCCAAGCCTACTCCACCAAGAACAAGGCAGCTAAGACAGCAGCAGACCGCCTCTTCAACGATTTCATCCCCAAATTCGGCTACCCCTCCAAGCTTCACCACGACCAGGGTCGCGAATTTGAGAACGAGTTGTTTAAGTCACTCAGAGAGCTTGCTGGTGTTGGGCACTCAAGGACATCTCCCTATCATCCCCAGTGTAACCCCGTTGAAAGACTGAATCGCACCCTGTTGCAGATGCTACGCACATTGGGAGAGAAAGAGAAACAAAACTGGAAGGAGCATTTGCCTCACATCATCCACGCTTATAATTGTACTAAGCATGAGGCCACCGGATTTTCTCCGTATTACCTGTTGTATGGCCGACATCCTCGCCTCCCAGTGGATCTTCTTTTTGGCCTCATGACAGAAAATGACACAGAGACACCACATGGATATGCAGAGAAATGGAAAGGGAGAATGACAGAGGCCTATCGCATTGCAAGTGCAAACAGCCAACAGTCAAGCTCCAAAGGGAAAGCAAATTACGACAAAAGGTGCAAAGGAGTAACATTTCAGACTGGGGACAGAGTCCTTGTGCGTAATCTGGGTGAAAGAGGTGGCCCGGGCAAACTAAGGCCCTACTGGGAACATACAGTCTACATCGTAAGGGAGCAGGTTGGTGACAACCCCGTCTATAAAGTAAGCCCTGAAGTAGGAGGCCGTCCTGTCCGCACCCTACACAGGAACCTGCTGCTACAAGTAAATGACTTGCCAGTTGATGTTGTCCAGAGTGAAGCCACCAAGCCACACAAGAGAAACCAAAAGTCCGCAGGAAGACCAAACGCACCAGACCAGACACGCACCCCAGAGGCAAGTGACTCAGAAGAAGAGGAACAATTCTACTGGTTCCGGGTACCCAGATATTCTCAACAGAGCCATCAGCCAGTTGAACCAGTCCGCAGTGAGCCACAACGCAGACCTGGTCCAAGTCAGACACGACAAGTAGAACAGACACACAACCACCCTGAACAAAGAGACACTGATACAGAAGAGGAACATGTTACACAAAGACAGGATGGACAAGATGCAGACCTATTCCGACCCGATGAGGACCAAGAAATACTGCAGCTTCAAGAAGAAGTGAACAGCCCTGAGCATGGCCCTCGCTCAGCCGCGAGTCCTGACCCAGAACCGGTACCCAGCTCTGATCCAGGGCTTGACATGCACCCGGAGTCACCACCCCGTCTGAGGCAGTCCACCAGGCAGAGACGACCCAACATGGTCTTCACCTACCCATCCTTGGGCCAGCCAGCCTACCAGACTCGTCCTACGGTGAACACAGTCAACGTCCAGTCTTCACTGTATCCTTTTTTGTATTACCCCTCTTTTTACCCTCAGCCCCTTTATCCTCCCCCCCCTTACCTCTAACCCTTACTTACCTGTTTCGTATGCTATTCCTTGCTATTAAACTGAGCAGATACCTCAGGAGAGAAGATGCCTGAAGATTAAGGACATTTGTGAAAGACATTCCAGAGACTTTTTTTGAAAAGAGACTTTATTAGTTTAGGGGTTTGAGTTATTTTAGTCAAGTGTCAGGAGCCACTTTTGTTGTTGGGGAGCGTGTGGTACACCTAAAAATGTGTCACCACATTTAATAATTGTTATGGTAGCTATCATTATCATTATTATTGTTATTGATAATAATTTCTAATAATTTAGAGGATATATTTCCTTTTTTTTGGCATAAATTCGTTGTACTGTGTGGATGTTGGGGAGTTGGGGAGAAATTCGCGGGCGGAACCTTTGACGCTTGTCGCGCGTTCCCCCCCCCCCCCCCGGTCCCCTTAAACATATCTGGGAAGGAAACGCAAGCTGTAGTAGTCATTGTTTTCCTAAGACTCTCTTTCTATTCCACAGGTTTGTATCTGTTTAAAAGTCGCCAAGGATGAAATATTTTAGTTTTATGAAGCTTTTTAGGTCAGGAATGATAGTGGGAATCTAACAATTTGGAAAGTTTTGAAGTTTAACTCGCGGCATAGCATAGCGAGACCAGTTTGCGCGGAGCCGTTGGTCTCTGGGGAGATCGCGGAGGGGTTGCTAAGGGCTCGGCGGCTCGCACAGCTCACTTTTATTTCAAAATAACAGTTATAAAACGCTAGTATATTGAATGTATAAGACTCCTGTTGACTTTGAAGAAGCCTCCTGACATGATTTTAGTTGTTCAAGACCCCTGTGCGCATTATTTGTTTAAGCTATGTTGTGACTGAATTACACTGTTTAATTGAAAATTAAAAGAAAAACATATCTGGGAAGGAAACGCAGCTGTAGTAGTCATTGTTTTCCTAAGACTCTCTTTCTATTCCACAGATTAATTCTTTTTGTTGTCGTGTCCGCACCTGGGACCGGTAACATAATGCTTAACGTGTTGCCAAGGTCCCCAACTTATGCCTAACGATAGTCTAACCTATGCATAGCGCACGGCAGCGTATCGCCGACGATCACGTCTCGCCGCCTATTAAAAGGCTGCCGCTCGACAATCTAAATCATATCATATGCTATATCATCATATCAATCTCTCTCTGTGTATGGTGCTGAATGCAACAGATGATTGATAGGCTAGGTCAGAGCAGCGGGCTCTGTCTGCAGACGACAGGCTGTAAAGTTGTGAGCGTGATCGCGTCTGCTGTTTCCTGTCTACAGTAAAACCACTCACCACTTCACTTCTAGAGCTCAGAGCTCTGCACTTCTAGTTTAGATACAAGACACAACCGAGTTATTATTATTGGTGAAATGTGGTGCAATACTTCAGATACATGTTTTTTAAAGCATAAAAGATTGGAGAAAAAGTTCACAGGAAGTAGAGTTGCTATCGCTAAACTGCAGCTTCACACGCGCTGGACGTAAACAAACACACGTGCGACTCTAGCCTTTTTACTTTCAAAGAACGACTCAAATGGATTAATAGCGCGCTTTTGTCGACTGGATGTCATTATTTGCGGAGGACAAATTCTATGGATAATACAGGGTGAGTAATAAAGTCTTCTTATTGAGCTGGCGCAATGAATTGATCGGTTAGGTTGTATCCGCACATCGCCTACATGACGCTCTTTTTTAAAATGCAAATGACTGTTTCCTACGGCTCTCAGTGAGGACATTTTCCCACTGTCTGATATCCTCTGTGGCCGAAGTATTCTCTGATCAAGTGTTTTGCATCGGCTATGATATATGGGAGCGCAAGTCTGACGGTTTCCTCCCCGTTTTTATACCAATTCTCCTAAACGCTGCCAATACGCCATTATACTGTAGCTACAAGTTAAAAACACGTTCAGTAAGTTCTGCGGTCATCTGGAACATGTCAAATACGTCTGCATATGTCAATATGCGTTGGAGATAAGTTCGATATAAGTTACACATAGGTTCAAAACACGTTACTCATAAGTCATGGGTACACTAGACATTTTCTCAACGTATTTGGACTTATGAGAAACTTACAATTAACGTGTGTCAGCGATCGCATAACTTACCTACAACTTATGGCCCGCGTATGCAGGATGTATAAACATACGCTGACATATGTCAAGAAATTTTCAGCATGCTCAAAATTTTTTGACGACCTTGCCGTATGTCGCCGTATGCCAGCGTGCTCATAACTTATACAATACTTACCTAGAACTTATCCGACGTACGCTAGCGAATTTGCCAATTTTTTCATACGTCGGCATACGTTTTCTAAATCGTCAAGGTGTGACAGCGGTTTTATGTCTGCCAGTCCTTTTATACACATTAAAGGTCTATGACAGGTTAGACCATTAATTTTATTGAAGGTTTGCTCTCCATCATGGACACTCCCACTGCACCAAACCACTGAGGGACAGAGGAACTCATTCTCCTCAGGCTCCAACAACTCAGAGTGAGAGATACAGGACTACATTCATATCATTTATGGAGCCAGTCAAGCAGAAGATACAGCAAAGCCAAAAATTCAAGTTAATGCATCTGATATAAAAATGTTTTCAACAGATAGCATACAGTCCCTGACAAAAGTCTTGTCGCTTATCCATTTTGTAGAAACAAAATCTTATAACCTGACTTTAAATTAATCGATTGGTTTTAGAAATGTCTTATATGAAAGCTAAAACCCTCCCAAATTATGCTCAATATACTAAAATAAATTTGCTTCACTGAAGAAAGATTGATCATTTAATGAACACAGAAAGGTCAGATTTTGGCAAGACAAAAGTCTTGTCACCTTGTCATATGATGCACCCAATCCTAGATTACAGCCTCATCTGTGATCAGTTACTGATCAATCAATTAGTGGGTGTGTATAAAAAGAACCCCAGCACACCAGACCTTCACATCAACTGCAACTTGACCTCTGACAACATGCCTAAGATCCACCCTGAGACCAAAGCGTTAATTATCAAGAGGCTGAAGACCAGATCCACTGCTGAGGTGGTGACACCTTCAATGTGTCTCAGCGTCAAGTACAAAGAATAAGAAAAAGATCTGAAATGACTGGAGATGTTTTTGACAAGCCCAGGTCCGGCAGACGCCGCAAGACAGCTGCTCGGGAGGACCGTTTGTTGATTCGAAAAATCCAAGGCCAGCCCCTTTTCCACTGCAGCAGCAGACTCCACCAGGCCTGGTCACCGTCAAGTCCCTGTGTCAACCAGAACAGTTTGTAGAATTCTGTCTGGAAATGGCCTCCATGGTCGAATCAGTGCACAGAAACCAGCACTAAACAAAAGGCAATTAAAAAACCGTGTGGCATTTGCCAAGGCCCACAGCCTGCTAAAAGGATGGACACTGGAAAAGTGGCAGAAGGTGGATTTCTCAGATGAATCCTCAGTTGAATTTCATCACAGCTGCCGCAAATATTGCAGGAGACCTACTGGAGCCGCATGGATCCAAGATTCACCCAGAAAACAGTTAAGTTTGGTGGCGGAAAAATCATGGTCTGGGGTTACATCCAGTATGGGGGTGTGTGAGACATTTGCAGGGTGGAAGGCAATATCAATAGCCTAAAATATCAAGTATCAAGTATCAAGTATCAAGTATTAGCTCCTCTTACATTCCCAACCATAAAAGGGGTCAAATTTTGCAGCAGGATGGTGCTCCATCGCATACTTCTATCTCTACATCAAAGTTTCTCAAGGCGAAGAAGATCAAGGTGCTCCAGGACTGGCCAGCCCAGTCACCAGACATGAACATCACTGAGCATGTCTGGGGTAGAATGAAAGAGGAAGCATGGAAGGCAAAACCAAAGAATCTTGATGAACTCTGGGAGGCATGTAAGACGCTTTCTCTGCTATTCCTGATGACTTCATCAACAAATTGTATGAATCATTGTCGAACCGCATGGATGCGTCCTTCAAGCTCATGGAGTCATACAAGATATTAAATATGGATCTCACAGCACCACTACTTAATTCACTGACGTTATGCAACATATTTTTGTATTTGAAGTAAATTATTTGTTCAATTTTCTGTAGGCGACAAAACTTTTGTCTTTCCAAAATCTGACCTTTCTGTGTTCATTAAATGATCAATCTTCAGTGAAGCAAATTTATTTTAGTATATTGAGCATAATTTGGTAGGGTTTTAGCTTTCATATGAGACATTTCTAAAACCAATCGATTAATTGAAAGTCAGGTTATAAGCTTTTGTTTCCACAAAATGGATAAGCGACAAGACTTTTGTCAGGGACTGTATGTACTCTAGTTTATGAAACTGTTTACCTTTTTTCTGTACCATTTTTGGTTCTAAAGTTACATACGTTTTAAACATACCATGTATGAAACATGGAACAAAAAATATTTCCCAAATTTCAAAGACCTGCAAATCTTGTAAATAAATTGTTGCATTTCATCATATCTTGTGTTATTCGATCTTTGAACTGTTGATGAAGGTACATGATTAAAAAGAAAAAAAAAAGTATTTAAAATGATAAAAATTTGCTTGGAAGGACTGACATATTTTATAGAAATAGTTACCTTTCATTTTGAAGTAATATTAAAGTATTCAGAAGAAAAAAGCTAACAAATTATGCAAAATCATGCACCTTCTACTTGCTTGCACAATTTTCCCTCCGTTACTTTTCCATGACCTTTCTTAATAAAAAATCTCATTACTCAAAAAGTAAGAGGTCTTTCAACCTGATCTTGTACCATATGGTAGAAAACTATATTAAACAAATATTCAAACCAGTTTGTTAAGGATATGTAAGTGAGAACCAGTAGTTATCGCTGTTTGTATTTATTGCCCAAAAACTGCTGCATATTTCATTCCCTCCGTTACCGACGTGAGTTTTTTAATTTTTTGTCAACAACTTGAAAGAATATCGCAGGGTTAACTTTACCCTGTTGGAGTGCTAACTCTTTCCTACATTCTAATACCTTACTTATTTCAATAGTCCCTCTAGTTTCTGAATAAGAGCTATTTGAATGTAAAAAAATCTGCACCTGTTTCCCTCCGTTACCGCTTGACCGGACCATATATATGTGTACAACAACTCACCTTTATGTAACAGATAATACTCCCTACAACTATACAACATCATATCATTGCTGCACTGTGTTCCTATGACCTCTTTTTTTGTTTTGATTTTTGTAGCACTCTTTTTTATTGTCTCTGTAGGGAAATTGTGCTCTGTATTTCACCCATCTCTACAGGAGCAGTGGGCAGCACACTGGGAGCACCCGGAGACCCATCTGCATGATCTTGTTGCTAGGCTAGGCTCAGGACTACCTTAGACTGAGGATTTTACTTTTTACCTGTACCTCTTGTATATAGCTGAGATTTTATATTTTATTACTTATTTTTCCATTTTATTTTATTTCTATTTTTATTTTGACTTGTACATTTATATTATATAATAATGTCTTATCTGACACCTGTCTCTTGCTATCTTTTTGCTGCGTATTTAGAGTTTATTATTACCATTTATGTCTTTTACTCTTTGTTATTATATTATATTGTGATCAGTGAGCTATTTTGTCCAAATAGTTTGTCTAAGTCTAAGGTTTCAAATTTTACTTTCTATTTGAAAATCATAAGATCACGCTAGGGAATTTTTACCTTTTACCTGGCAGCCATGTAGTTCACTGGGCCAAAACCCCTCTACTGTACACAGAAATTATAATTTGACAAATTCAATTATAAGAAAACACATTTTTTAAGTTTAAAGTAACAGAAAAATGTTTTCTTGTGTAAATTGTGTGTAACTTTTGGACACAATTTTCCCTATAGGCCCTATTCACAGAACCGTCTGACTATTTTGGTTTCTCTCAAAAAGTGTAAAACTGTACTTCCTTCATTGTGTATTGCATGTTAAGAACAATTGCAAGTTTACAATTTAATGTGTGGCTTTATTGTAGTGCCACCGCTCCTAGAGTCCCGATGTGCCCGATCGAAGTTATGGCTCGTGAGTAAAGCTCCTGTGTGTATTTGCTGTTGATCGCCACAAGCGCCACTGTTCGCCGCTGTCCACGGTTGGGTCGGTGTTGCTGTCAGATGCTCCGGCCGCTCGGCGTCAAGCCTCGTGGATGTAGAAGCATGGGGTTCAGGTTCATTTATGGGGCTACCACCAAGTGAAGGATAAAATATAATGTTCATTTTTAGGGTCGAGGGTGGTCTTCGGCACGTCATCTGGTGGAGCCGTGGCCCTGTGAACGAGATGCTGCTTTGTTTTATTGTGTTTTATATTATAAGGACAAAGTCATCGTACAGCTGCTTTTGTGAAGCCTTTAATCGGCAGTTATGTGAACAGTGAATAAAGTTAATCTAACAAAAAGGAAACAAATGAATAATGGTGACAATAAATTATTTCATGTTTTGTAAGTCACTTGTCTCTGTCTATCAATTAACGAACCTGTGAGCCTTATTTTAGTTTAGCAAATTTAGTTTTAGTTTCTGGGCTATGCCCAGTGGCGTTGTTGGTTTTAAGTTGATTATATTACGTTTGGGGTGCTCTAACACACCCCCTCCCATAAGCCCCGCTCGCCACACCTACATTGAAGACTGGTTGGTCCTAGCGTCCTTTTGTCACGAGGTGAAGAAACACATAGCTCTGATTCTGCACCACATCTTCAGGATGGGATTTGTGGTGAACAGAGAAGAGGTGGAGTCACGCGCAATGCATGCACGACTCACCAGGGAGAGGCACGGCACGCCATTCATCCTGTCCTCGAGTTTGATGGCTGCTACATAAACCCCATCTCACTAAGTGTGGTCTGTCTTGGGCATGATGGCCTCAGTCCATCAAGTGGAATGCCTGGATCTGTTGCACATCCGCAGAGTCCAATGTTGCTTCACTTGGCTCCATCTGCACCCTAACACCTGCACCTAAGGGACAAGCAGAGAGCAGTGACTCTATCCCCAGCAGCGCTGATGAACCTTAAGTTCTGACTGGCCTGGCTGGAGTGTGCATGGGAGGAGTTCCCCACTATGTGGAGATGTTTACAGGCACCTTGCTCGCAGATCCTGGTTGTACTGCACTGTAATTTTTACCTGTAATTTGCTAATCTGATTGCATCTTTGCAGCAACAGACTGTGGCATTCCCTGATCACAGCTCAGATCAATTTTATTTACTGAATTCATTAAATGTGTAAATAATTATTATGATTATTATTTCTGCAGAATAAAATTTGAAAATAAGCTTTCAAAGATTATATCTACCAATATATAAGACAATCAAAATGTTTTCTAAATAATTATTAGTGGGTGGTCGTCTAATAAAAAATAACAAAAATATCAGTTTGCTAATTAAATTCCAATATGCACGGTTTCCAATAGCCAATCATGTGCAACACACTAAGAAACTGCACATGCTATTTTTATCATTTGCAAATCGATAAAAACATTTTTAAAATAGTACAACCGAGTCAGTGCCGTACCTACATAGAAAGGACACATACAATTTTTTTCTCATTCTCAGTATGGACATTGGGAGATATGGGAGTTTTTGTATTGTCATTACTCAAGAGTCAAATGGGGGTAAATATTGACTTAATTAAGATTCTACAGGCAAAAGAAAAAATACTTCAGCACATCACAATATGAAAAATTTATAATTTTATGATGATATCCGTTAAGTGGTGCTTTTGATACTCAGGACCTGGCCTTACTGTGGAATTTGCATGTTCACAGTAAATGTGAATAGATGTGATAGATAAATCCTTCAGCTATAAATCTTGACCACGTTTACTGGGGATGCCATACAATAATTAATTTACACACATTGTTTTTTTTCTTATCTTAAAAATATAAAGACTCAGTTAAAAATACAGACAAAATTACCTCCTGCATCAACCAATTTAATATAATATGAGGCAACTTGTTTAAAGATTTCAAAGTTGTTTTTCTGATCATCAGCAATATATTTGTTTCTGTTGAGGCCATGTGCGATTTTTATTGCCTCGTTTGTGTAGCCGATGAATCTCCCCTCTGTGCTGTTGTATGACACCAAGAGCTCCTTATTGTAGTAGACCTGGTTAGTATACAGAACGTCATGGCCGTCCTCTGCACTGGATTGACCCTTCCCAAAATAGACAATATAGTGTGCCTCTGCAAAAATCACACATAATTATTATACATTTCCAGTTTTCTGGAGGTGTGAATACCATTACAATAACATAACATTTAGTTTAGCCATATCAAAAGACAATCATTCAAATCTGACCCTTGCTCACTTTGCTCATCACACGGGAAGACAACAAATATTAACGACCTGATCATATAAATCTAAAATACTAGTTGTATTGTTTATTTTAAGGATCCCTGTTAGTCTCTACAAGAGCAAAGTCTACTCTTTCTGTTCTCCACTCTCAATCAAAGAAGAATGTACCCTTACCTGTTAAATGTGCCCCTATGTTATTTATAGCGTTAGTGGTTGTAAAAATAAACAAGGTCAAACAATACATCTATCAGGAAGTTATCTTGCATCTGACAGCTAGCTATGTACTGACCTGTTCGCAGGTGTGTCACGTCAACAGAACATAAAACAGACATTTTGCACACATACAAATTCCAAACCTCCACATTTGACTCACTGAGCTGCAGAGGCTGCACGAGCACTGACTCATGACTGACTGGAGGTGCTGAGGTTTAGGTATTGAGGAATCAGAGGCATTTTAGGTTTAAACCAACTGGATTTCAGTACTGAAACAGGCAACCCAAATGAGAGACACGGACCTTGTTCACATGCACATCAAATCAAATCAAACCACACACCACACAAGCACACACCTACATACTTAAGACTCTTTGCACATTTTTCATCACAAACACTTCAAATTTACCCAAAAGACACAAAACCCATGTGCAATTACATTTTGAATATGACTTTGGATGTGGTCATGGTGCAAAATTGCAATTTTTGGAAAATTTCTTACAAATATTTCCCTCACACATTGCTGTTTGGGAAAAGCAGATTTTATGCAAACAGAGTTTATGTAGATTTGTGATCTGAACACAATGATATGCAAATCAATGCGCTATAATCAGATTTTTTGACCTTTAAGATTTCTTAAATGTAAAATGCTAATTCTGATGCGAGTAATCAGAGGGACTATGATCAGAAATAAATTAGATGAAAGAAATTAAATGATGCTTTTTTTCATCTTTTAACACCAAAATTCTGATATGAAACCGCAGCCAAGGTTTTGTTTATGATTTTTAAAATCATAATCTTAGATACAATTCCTTTAAATAGGAGTGTCTACATATATCATTTACAAAACACCAGACACTTTTAGAGTGAGGGATGACAAAGCCTTTATCTCTGTTAATTCAAACACATTATTTAGTCTAGAAGAAGTTGTGTGAAAAGTGATAAAACACATTAAACACAATGCCTTCCAAGTGATTACATTTTTTAAATTATTATAAAATAAAAAATAAAATTTGTGTTTTTTACATTCCGTCACTTTAAAAACTGAGTAACTTTACATAACCACAAAACATTATAAAAGTTATATAACAATACAACTCCAGAAGACAACAAAGCATTATAAGTATGAGTAACGAGTTGTTATAAGTATAACCAAAGCAGACAAAGAACATAGTCACACATTTGTCGATATCACCTAACCAAGGTCAATATATTCAGCTGCCAACTGCCTATAGCGTCCTTTGACAATTAAAAATGTCCCAATTGCGACTCCCAGTAAGGCTACAGTCAGGCCCACTCCACAGTACAAATCAAGTGCCAGGTCTCCATGCTTCTTCACATCCACATCTGTGGAAAAAAAATATTTGGAAAGAGGAATTAGATTACATTTTGAACCATGAAATTAAGAAGTTATAGTTATAGTTTATATATTTTACTTGAGTAACATTTGAAGAGAACATGATCTAGATTTTGTACAACATACTTTGTACATCAGTCTGCCCCAGGGCAGCTATGGCTACAGTACAGCATTGTAAAGCGATTTGTTCATCATGAAAGGCACTATACAATTTCAGTTCATTATTATTATTACTAAATAAGTTATGTTAGTTCATATTATTTTGGTGCAACAATGTTTTTCATCTTCACTATGTTTCAAAAGCAGGTTTATAGGCTTTTATGATGAATTAAAGGTTGTATAGAGGATTTTCCAAGGAATGAGAAATCCAGTGACTGTCTTTTTTTTTTTGCCCCTCCCCCCCAGCTCCCTACGTAGAAACGCCTCCTCCCGCCTCCTCCTTACGCCAGAAACAGGTTTGTTTCTAGAAAACAAGTACTCATCGCTGCAAAATGACTTGTAAACAACTAACTACAGTGTTGGTTAGGCAAGGTGGAGAAGTGAGGAGGACATTTCATGCACGGAGAAGAAGAGGAGCGGGGAAGCGGGGGAGCAAGGGAGAGGAGAGGGGAGCGGTGCAGAGAGGGGTGCGCGGAGATTCCGTGCGAATGAACTAGCTACAACACACAGCAGCAAGCGGGCTCTTTCTTTGCATTGAAAATTACGTTTTCAGACATAGGATATCGCATTCGTGTCCTGAAAAACGTTTGTCTAGCTCTTGGAAATAAAGTACATTTTCATAATAAGCAGAAGTGACCTGTCCAGGAGTAATTTGGCGACCAATGCATCAGTCTTTAGACCCTTCGTCTGCTTCAGTCGCGCCATTGCTGGAATGAATCTCCAAGAACCTTAGTTTGGCTTCGCTGCTTTTCCCCTTGTCTTCTTCTTTCAGCGACCTCAAAAACGGACTTTCTTTTGCGGCTAACTGCTCCTGGATTCTTGTCTGCCATTGCAACAAACTTTGTGCTAACTGCGAGGAAGATATAGGTCAAAAAAGCCGCTAAGAACTGTTGCGTTGCGTTGGTGGAGTAAACAGCGTCTGTGCGTCTTGCGTCTGTGGACTGCGTGACAGGCGTACGTAAACCACGTAATGGCAGCGCGCAGGCAAGTCAGTTACGCTAGAAATGTAGGGAGTTTGATTGACAGCCTGTCAGCTAACAGATAACGAGGCAGTCTCGTTATCTATTGGCAAATGTTTAGCCCCACCACGTCCAGAGTTGATGAATTTTTATTCTCTTTTTTTTTGGTCATCATAATTACAAGGCTACTGCATCTCTATAATGCTATCATTGACATTTTGAAACAAAAAAAATCCTCCATACAACCTTTAACATATTTGTGTGGCAGAAGACCTTCCAGACAAAATACTTTGAGGGAATGAACATTTTCGTCACCAACCAAAACACCATAGGGGAGTAAGAATGAGGCTTTTCCTGTTCACCTGGTTCTCCCCTGGACATTGTTGTGATGCTGCAGGACAAAGATAAGAGACACTTTTGACTCTTCTTCTGGTCAAACTGCCCTGACACAGGATTTGCTGACCCTCCCTGATCAATCCTCCTGTTACACTGCACTGAGACCTTTGACAGAGACACAAAAGCGACTGAGAAGCACAGTGTAAATACTGAAGTAAAACTGTGTCTGCTGCAGCAAAACTTCTATTTCCCTCTGAATCAATAAAGTATCTCGCTCTCTCTAATTGGTTAAAGGTTTTAACCATGTTAAAATGCTGTTCTTGTATCGTTAGCTTACTCACAGTTGTATTTTTATTGATTCATGCATGTTTGGGTTATCCTGTATTCACCAAGAAATTATATCCTCACTCACATCCCTGTACTTAGTTGCAATTATTTGAAAAATTCAAGTCATACACAGTACACAGGGTTCAAATACATAAATGTTTCTGTGTAGACTCTACCCTCCTGACTGGGCGAAAGGTGCGTTGGAGGAGAGGTACTTAGCTGAAAATGTTTTCAAAAAAGACCAAGATATTATATATATATATATATATATATATATATATATATATATATATATATATATATATATATATATATATATATATATATATATATATTATAGGTCTTTTTTCAGGTAAAATCATTTACCCCATGTCCGTGTTTTAGGTTTCTCCAGGGCAGGGTGCTCCACCGTGCAGCTGTACATGTCTCCGTCCTCTGGTATGAAAGTGAGCGTGGAAAAGCAGTGGAAGGTCTGGTCACTGTTGGCGATATAAGCACTGGTGGACACCCCTTCTGACACGGGATGATTGTTTTTGGTCCATGTCACAGTGAGGACTGGAGGGTAGAAACGATTCACAAAACAAACAAGACTGTTTTCCACTTTCAACAGGACTTCTTCAGCTGGATACAAGATGCTTTCAGGGGGGTCTGGGAAGTTCAAATAGAGTAGTTCATATATATAAATTAAAGGATGCTCTATGTAACTTTTCTGGTAGGGATCCTCCACCACCTTGTCTCCATGGAGATGTTATACATATTGCTTTGAGAATTAACCTAAATCTATTATGCATTTATTCAACAAGAGGTGTTTGTATTGCTGACAAATATCTGAAAATGTGCCATATGAACATGTATGCCATAGTGTCTCTATGGAAACAGGTTAAGTTACATTATGCATCTTGATGAAATTATACTTACTCTTTCCATCTTTTTTTTTTTTCTTTTTTTTTACCTTTAACTTCTGGTGCTTCCATTTCTGGCACTCGAGCCACCTTTGCAAGTGATTGAACATCCCAACATCCCTTTCTTGATCTCCATGCGTTTTGATAAATATCTGGAAGTGAGCTTGGGTCAAAAGGAATAAAAGGTGGTATGGTGTATACAACCTTGCTGTTCTGAAAATCTGCATACACAACCAAGTCTCCATCAAAATCGTAAGTAAATTGTGCAGTGTCATTGGGATAGCATCCCACTGAGCCACGTAATTCATGGGAATCTGAAAAAATAAACAGATATGTAAAACGTTATGCTATACTTTAGAGAGAGAATAAGTACATTAACATGAATAAATACTAGTACATGTGTTAGGTACGGTAATTTATATGCATGCAAGATATTATAATCTGATTATTTGTTTAATAATAATTCCAATGTATAAACAGATTAAATTTACTTACATTGTGAAAATGCACAAAAGTAGTTGAGAAAGAGACAGAGGACAGACGCTGACGGTTTCATCCTTTCGAAGAGAATGTTTTTGATTTCCCGAAACAGGAACTAAATATGGTTCGGTCACATGAGCGCAAGATAAAATAAAATATATATATATATATATATATATAATCTTGAAATAAATCCCAAAATGTTAATACAATTGTTTAAATGACCAAAAAGACAAAAGTGAAACCGTAACAGTAATAGGCATTTTAAATTTGTCAAATCTGAACAAATTTGAAACGGATTGTTGTATAACATCCGTCATTTCCTCTAAACAGCGAACTAACAGGTTTATCAGCTCAGACTATGTAAACTTTCTTGCACAGTTAGGAGGGTGATGCATTGCTGTACTATTTCAGGTATTACATGTGATTCTATATGATATTTAAGAGTCTAGACCTATTATTAGTCTATGTTTAGGTCTATATTAGTACATAAATACAGCAGCATTTCAGGCTGCATTTTATTTACGCTTTCTCTTTAAATCCGCAAGTGGGCAAATTCCACCAGAAAGCAGTAGCAGAGTATTGAAAAGTGCAATAATTTCCGTAGTCCCATAGCCAAATGGTTAGTCTATGATGAGATTTTTAATTTGACACTAGAAAGGTTGAAATATGGAGACAAAAGGCCTCAAGACAGAAAATATTTATGAAGGCCTAATACTGATGACAATAAGAAATTATTTTATTTTGCCATTTAGATTTTGATTTAAGCTCCGCTCGTACTACCACACATCGGGAAGAGGTAAGGCAACTTCAGCAGTATTAACCAGGCTCCAGAGTCCCACTACACCAGCCTCCTCTCTCAGTCCGTGGACAGAGAGGAGACTGGAGAGGAGAGGGAGAAGAGGAGAGGAGGGATGAAGAGGAGAGGAGGGGTGAAGAGGAGAGGAGGGGGAGTCGTATCTTTCCTCTCACTCTTCAGATTAAAATGAGCAGAAAAGTTCTGTGGCCCAAATCAAACTCTGTGAGTGTGCGCTGTGGTTCCTCTCTCCTTTAGTCAAATCATAAAAAAAAAAAAAAAAAAAGTCACACTTTGAGCCCATTTTCCGTGATGTCGTTGCTCCGTTGCTCTGTTCTTCTCAGAGTCACCATTTCTGTCATGGAACGTGTGATTCTTCTGCTTTTTCTGCAGAAATAGGACCTCAAACTCGGCTCCAAATTCGCTCCTATGATTGGTAGTTCTCCCAACTGTGTGCATAGGTCTATCTGCAAAATTCAAAGATTAAAAACTATCACACGCTAAATGTCATCAGGATACAGGTTTGGGAACAGTAGACCACAAAACTCCTGGATGACTTGGCTTTAAGGATCAGTTTCCATTCTTTTCTTTCCGCAAAAGTGAAACCATAACTCTGCTACATCTAATTGAAAATAAGACTGTTAGTTACATGATAATATATTCAGATTATTTACACTCAGAGGAACTCAGGCGATTAACTGTATAAAAGACTTACACTTACAACTTTATTAATCCACAGTGGAAATTACAGAAGCTCACACATTATAATATAATAACAAATAACCATGATAATAAAACTGAAGTTACACAATTTGACATGGCATAATCAATTACAAGGGTGAGCTTTTGTAAAACTGTATGGTGTATGGTACTATATAGGCCAATAATATTTAAAAGAGATGGGATCAGCTAATATAAATATTGTTAAAGATCCTGTATTATAGTTGACTCTTGTGAGCTTTAAACATCAAAAACGTGCAGACTTGTGTTTTGTTTCATTCACACGTTTGTTTTTAGTTTTCTACATCTCCAAAGCTCTGTATGTTTGTGATGTCATGTAGTGGTAGTTTTCAAGTTAACACTTACTTTTTACATTTTGTTCAGTAAACACTGGCAATTCCAGGACTGACATTAACCAAATGAAGGCGTATGGAGTACAAGACACAGACATTTATTCAGTGTATTTAATTATTCAATTTATTATCTGAATATCACAACACGTTTAACAAATGACATGACAGAAAAACCTGAAAACAAGACAGGTCACCGGTTACCATAGCAACGGGGTCTGGGTCAGCTGACCAGGGTGGGACACGGTTATGACTTTTCAGGTTAAAAAAACAAACTATTAAACAGCCTATCCCATAAAACAATCAAGTGGGACTTAGTAAAGAAAAGCTTCATTCTGTCGTTTTCAACTTATTTAAAAATAAAGGGACTGAGACTCAAAACTGAAATCAAAGGCAACTTAAATTTATCTGAAATTTCAATAAATCGCAAATCTGGTCACTGTCGTCAAAAAAGGACAGTTTACTGGCGCCACTGCTCTGGGTGACGCGGGGGACTATGTTCTGAGGTTTTCCTCTGTAAAACTCAGTCAAAAGTCAAAAATTAAAAAGTATAGCACAGCCGTGAGATTTCCCCACATTTCATAATTTTGAGATGTTTTTTTTTCCTTTCTAAATTCTACACACATTACACATTTTATTCAACATTACAATATTTACAGATTTACTTTTTATTCTAGCAGCAGGAGGCATTTTGGTCATGACTGACTAAATCAAACCTATAAAAATAACTTATTAAAGCTACAAGATAAAAGACAGATTTAAGTCGGTACAGTCGATATATTAAAGTGCATATGGCATGTTAGAAATTATATTTATTAAGATTTCTACTCATTTTATTTCCTGGTTGAACACGGACAGTAGATACAGAGCCAATTTCATAACTTTTACCTAGCAACCATACTGTGATAAAGGGGTGAAGACTTGCCTAAATTACACAATAATTCAATTATAACTGCATTTGAAAGTTTTAACATAGACATATTCCTTTTTAGAAACACTACGTTGTTGATTTTTATTATTATTATTATGCTTTACACTCAGTGGTGTGCACTATTTTTTTGTCTTTATTATTATTATTATTATTATTACTATTTTTTCTCTTTTTAATTTCATTTAACACTGCTGATCGTTACTTTTATATTGTTATTATTAATAATGATGGTCATATGGTGATTATGATGATGAAGATAATAATAATATTTAGTGATGGTGGTGAGGATAATGATGATAGTAATGGTTGTCATTACTGTTACAGTTATTAATAATATTTTACACCTGTTATTGTTATTATTGTTACTATTATTAGTATTAGTAGTTGTATTATTAGTTGTATTATTATTATTATTATTATTAATTTATTTTTTTCTCTCTTCTCTTCTTTAACAATAATTTTGTAAGAAAAGTATACTTTTATTTATAAGTTAGGTCTATGGAACGCTAGCTTGACGCTACCGCCTTTATTTGATCATTTGTTTAGTTTGTTGTAGAGGAGGAAAAGGAGCCCTCTATACCTCCAAGTCTAAACTTAGAGTTAGGCTCCCATTTCATTTGTAATGGAAGTAGTTAATGGGGATCTGCTGCTTGTCGAGAACAAGCCTAGGATTAGGGTAGAATTTCTATCTTTTTTATTTTATATTATCTTTTCTAGAGGGGTTGGGGTCCTACAGATGAACAAACTTCTAAAATTTAAGTTTTTCTCTTTGCATGTAAATTTCTTGTCTTATCTGCTCTTTTACAATGCGAGATAATCTATGTGTCAAACTAAAGCTGTGAATTTGTACAGTGGGAGCACTCCTATTAAGTTTGTATCTTGGAATGTTAAAGGAGTCAATGGACCAGTAAAAAGAGGCAAAATTCTTGCGCACCTTAAACATCTTAAAACTGATATCGCCTTTTTACAAGAAACCCATTTGACAATAAAGGATCATCAAAGACTAAAGGCTTCATGGGTTGGTCAAATATTCCATTCCAAACTTAACAGCAAAATGAGAGGTACAGCTGTTTTAATTCATAAAAAAATTAATTTTATACCCAAAGATATTACTTCTGACCCTCAGGGGCGATATGTACTGATTTCAGGCTCGATCAATAACACTGCATTAATCTTGGTTAATTTGTATGCTCCTAATTGGGATGATGAATCTTACTTTCAAAAAATAATCCCATTACTACCCAACCTTAATACTCACCACCTGATTCTAGGAGGTGACCTGAATTGTACCATGAATCCTCCTTTAGATAAATCTTCATTTAAACATCCCTTCCCAAATAAAATGGCCAAATCTATTATTTCCTTTATGGATCAAATATGGGCGGAGTAGATCCATGGCGCTTCCGTTATCCAACTGACCAACAGTTTTCTTTCTACTCTCAGGTTCATAAAACATTCTCAAGAATCGATTACTTTTTTATTGATAAAGCCCTCCTTCCTGGTGTTAAAAATATTGAATACTCAAGTATAGTGATTTCCGATCATGCCCCAGTACGTTTAGATCTCTCCCTGCCATCATGTCAAAGAACACCCCACCTTGGAAACTGAACTGTTTATTACTAAATGATGATCAGTTTTGTGAGTCAATCTCCATGGCTATTAAGGATTTTCTTAAAAACAATGACTCTGATCTAATTTCTCCATCTCTTCTGTGGGAAACTCTGAAAGTTGTAATTCGGGGTGAAATTATTTCCTATACAGCTAGATACAATAAATTAAATAGACAAAAAATGAACAAGCTTTTAAATAATATTAAGGAAATTGAAAAAAAACTGCTAACTTCAGTTAATCCTGAATTGGAGAAGGAGAGATTAGATCTGCAGTTGGAATACAACTTACTACTCACTCATCAAACTGAGAAATTGATCTTACAGTCACGTGGTTTTCAATACGAACATGATGAGAAGGCAGGGCGCTACTTGGCACATCAACTGAAAAGTCAAACAATATCACGTGAAATTAAAGGCGTTAAAACTTCCTCAGGTGATTACGTTTCCACTCCATCCGATATTAATAAAACCTTCACCAAATTTTACACCGATCTGTACACTTCTGAATTTCCCACTCATGAGGTGGATATGTTATCCTTTTTTGACGCCTTAACTGTACTGTCAATCTCTGATGGTGAGTCATCTGATCTTGAGCAGCCCATAAACATTTCTGAGATAACCAATACAATATCGGTAATGCAAAATGGAAAAGCCCCTGGCCCAGATGGA